GTAAAGGAGCGGGCCTACCCAAGTACGGAGCGGGCCTACCCAAGTAAAGGAGCGGGCCTACCCAAGTAAGGAGCGGGCCTACCCAAGTAAACGGAGCGGGCCTACCCAAGTACGGAGCGGGCCTACCCAAGTACGGAGCGGGCCTACCCAAGTACGGAGCGGGCCTACCCAAGTACGGAGCGGGCTACCCAAGTTCAGGACCCTGTCGGACCCAAAGTACTGTGGCAAGATGCAGGTACAAAATTTTTAGTGTACATGTATGTTTTTAACCCTAGCAGTCATTTCTTTCCCATTGTGTTTCCTTCCTAAATACAACCCAACAAACTTCAATGTTCACCGCATGTTCTCCTAGTATAAATTCCCAGGTCTTTTGGCCTTGCAGTGGAGAAAAAAGATTGAAAATAGATTCTTTGAAAGGGTAAGGTTTTGCCAACTGTCTTATGATACCATTACACTTAGTTTTCATCCAGAGATTGTAATATTCTTAAATATCAAATTAAGTAATATATTGTGAGCTTCTTTGCAGCTACTGTTGAAATTGCCCAATGTCACTTTTCAGGTGCATATCTAGAGCACAGTAGAACATATATTAAGTAAGCTTACATTAGGGGGAATTTAGGTGTGAGAGGAAAGTACTTGCTTGATATTGTATTTTGTGTTAAAGTCTGAAAAAATGTTACTGAGAAACACTGACTGAACAGTTACTGTATGATTTTTGCAGATCCTTCAGCAACTGTTGGATGTGTTCCAGAAACAGAAAAAGAAAGTTCTGGTCTTCTCTTTCTACACAAAGGTAGGTCTTAGGGAATCAAATGATAACTTAACTAGAGAAGTAACATTTGCAAAGCAAATGCATAATGTTTACCTTCGGATATGGTCTGCTCTGTTAATTCTTACTCAAACACATTCACATACATGAACATGTATATGGTGACAGGAGTCTAAATGCCTACTATGAAATTGCAACTTTATGTAACCCAACACCAGTTACTATGGTAACAGACGTCAACAAAAGAGACCATTGGCCAGGTCAGACGTTAGTGAACAGAAGAAGAAGAAGAAACAGAAGAAGAAGAAATGGAGCAAAAACAATATGATTTCCTTCGGTAAACATAACAAGATGCTAGGGGGACCAAACTAATGAACACAAGAGCTATCTACCACCCAAAATCCTTGACCCTAGCATGCCCAGATTGCGAGATATTAAAACAAGAAGTTCTGCTGCAGTACCAACAAAAGCTGCCAAGGGGACCATAATCTAATCATTTCTAGGTCTCATTAAGACCTACCTACCTACCAAGTTTCATGACAATACAAATAAAGCTTCACAAACAAACAATCAAACAAACAAACAAACAAACAAACACTGATGAAGACATAACATTCTTGGCAAAGGTAATTATAGCACCAGAGCCTGTTGCTAGCTTTCCTATGCTTTGTTATGGTGACTGAGGTTGGAGTATGCCATACTGGATAATATGCAAACCAGCACACTGTAAACTAATAAGGACAAAAACATTTCATTATAGGAGTCAACCTTTTATTGATCCAAATGATTATCATACCAGTCTAGTATACATTGTACTATGGACTTTAACTTGGACTTTGGACATTATTTTGTATGTTGAGAACTGAGCTATTCCTGTTTATGTGTTTGGCAGCAAAGTCATTATGATAGTCTTTTAAAACTGACAGTAGTAGTAGTAGTAGTAGTAGTAGTAGTAGTAGTAGTAGTAGTAGTAGTAGTATTACTGCAGTAGTATGCAATCATGTATTTAATCATATTACAAAGATTTTGTTGTATTATACATTGTATATGAGGGCCTATTACTGTCCTTTCTTTATTTAACAGACTAGTACATTACAACAACATATGGCTGGAACACTAGGCATTGAATTGCTAATATCATGCATCACACAAATACATTTATAATATGTACAAAACATATTCTACAAGACCTAGTACAAGTCATCATCATCATTAAAAGTACAATTGCAATGAAATATGTACCTATAGCTAACAAGACTTATCCTTACAACTAGGCAAGTGCTGAGTTGCAAGGAGTTTACAATTGCTGGTGTTAAGTGCAGAGGCAGTATATAAGTTGTCGGTCATCTTTATTTATTTATTTTTTTTTTTAACGGTGTCGCTCAATGCAAGGCCATTGGCCACTTCTAGGCATAGAGCTAGCCTGTAACTGTAACAGCAACTCTTTTCCCTGAGTCTGAAACATCCTCACAAGTAGTGAGGACTAACTGACCCAATAGGAGAAGTAGGGGTTACGAGGCTGGTCGGGAAAATTCCCTACCCCTTTTGATGGTACATGTACCAGGTAGTTGCAAAGAAAAGCTGATCAGCTTGGTCTCTCAATTGAACGAACAATTATTGGAATTTCCATGTTGCTGTTCAGTAGGTATGGATAATGTGAACAGAGTTCTCTGACCAATCAATGACCACCAGCTGTCCCTGTGTTGCCATGGCAACAGCATGTGGCTCCTCCATGTCTGTAGCGATGTGTTTGAGGAATTTTCCTGTCTTGTCAAACATCTCCACACGGCTGTTAAAGCTGTCTGCCACGATGATGTTCCCTGCCCTGTCTGTACAGATGCCACGGGGATAGTTCAGCTGACCTTCATCACTTCCTAAACCTCCAAACTTGAACAGAAACTGTCCGTCCTCGTTGTAAACATAGACACAGTCATTGTCCCAGTCTGACACAAGAATTCTCCCTTCCCCGTCCACAGTGATGTACCGTGGTTCCCTCATCCCCTGCTGCTGACCCACAGTTCTCACAAGTGTTCCATCTGGCCCGAACACCACAACTTCACCATGCAGTTTTCCCTCTTTTTCTGTGGTTTGTGTGATGAGGATGTGGTTCCTCCTGGTGTCCACGGCAACTCCTCTGTACCACTCTGTCTCCTGTAGGATGAACATTCTCAGCACCCAGCCCTGTTTGTTGTACTGCAGAGCAACATCAGCAGATCTGTACCCCACCACCCATAGGTTCCCCTCCCCGTCCATGGCCACATCACGTGGCCACATCATCTGTCCACCTGGCACGACTGTTGGGAACTGTCTCACAAATGTTCCCTGCAGGGTGAAAACTTGGATTCTCTTGTTAAACCAGTCTGGTACAAAGACCTCCCCTTCATCTGACACAGCAACACCACTTGGAAAGTAAAACTGTCCTGTTCCTGGTCCCAATCCACCAAAAGTTATTGTTTTGGGGACGGTTTTTGGGATAGTTTTTAGGATAGTTTTGGGGACAGTGTTGGGGACAGTGTTGGGGACAGTGTTGGGGACAGTTTTGGGGACAGTTTTGGGGACAGACTGTTGTTCTATTTGTGTTGCATTATACGCCCAATATGACGGGTAATATAGCAACAAGGCTGCAAGCAAGAAAACCCATGCAACAGTTGTCAGAGAGAATGCTGGGGTATCAGGGGGCTGAAAGACAGCAGGCTGGGTTTGTGCAGGAGTTGGTGCTGCTTTTTCTCTGTACCTTCCTACCACCCCTGTCAAAATGGCTTCTTGACTAAGAGATTCTACCCCTCCCTGCTCCATTTCTTGTTCTGCTCGATCACAGGCAGCAGACAGTTCATTCACATCTGCCAACACTCTGTCCCTTTCCTCTTGCAAACCCTCTTTCTTTCCCTTGTATTTTTCTCCCTCTAGAAACAAAAAACTGAAAAAAAAAAACTGAAACTGTTTTATTCACATTGATTGGCAGCCAATATTCATTGCTTGGCTGAATTGCACAAGTGATTACATGTTAAAATAGCTTGAAAGAGATACACATTAAAAAGCACAACATTGACGATTAAAATTAAATAGATTTAAAATTTTGTAGGTCAGGTCCATTAAAACAGAGGCGGACTATTTACACACTTGATTGCTGAGGCTTATTGCCTGACACAGAAAAGATTTCCTCAGTCTTTCAGTTCTGAACTTTGGTATGGAGATGTGGTTTCCATTTCTCAGGGACCGCCGTGTGCTCTGGTGTCTGTCGCAGGGCATCAAAGAATGCAAAGGGTGGCTGACATGCCGCATTTGCTTGAGCAGAGTTTTTGCTGCAGTTTCCCGTCTGTCCTGGAGGGTGGAGAAGGGGGTTGTTTGAGTGCTGTTGCCGTAAATGATTCTCGCCGCCCTTCTCTGTACAGCCTCAAGAGTGTTGTTCTGTTTTGTGTTACAGCCCACGTACACGACATTTGCATACTCTAACACAGGTCGTATCAGAGTCGTATACACAGTTTCCAGGTCCTCTGGTGGCATCCCGCCCTTCTTGAGCATGCGGAGAAAGTGAAGACGAGTTGAGCCTTTCTTTGCCATGTGTAAGATTTGGCTGTCCCACCCAAGGCTGCGGTGAAGTTTGAAGCCCAGATACGTGGCACATTCAACAACCGGGACTTCTTTGCCTCCAAGTGTGAGGGGAGGTGGAACAGGTGGATGTTTTGAAAGCACAGTCTCAACTCATAGGACTTATCCCCGTTCATAATCATATTGTTCTTGTTCGCCCAGGTGTCAAGTTGCGTAGCTTCCTCTTGCATAGTTGTGTCGCTTTCAACAGTGTCACATGTGAAACGTTCTGGACAGTCCGATGTCGTCTGCATAACCGATGTTGCTGGTTGTTTGGTGCACAGTTTCTCTTGACGACATGTACACAAGGAACAGGTACGGAGAAAGCACTCCCCCTTGTGGCACTCCTGATGTGACGACGTTCCAATTGCTCTGCTGGTTGTTGGCGACTACGCGTTGTTCTCGGCCAGTGAGGTAGCTGTGTATCCAGCCAAGCATCTTAGGTGGGGTGTCACGGACAGCTAGGAGTTGGAGAAGGATTCCGTGATCAACTCTGTCGAATGCTTTAGACATATCTGCCAGCAGCACGCGAACCATGGATGTGTCTCTGTTTTCCAAGTTCGATAGCCATGTCTGATAGGCTTTTACAAGTGCGAGAGTTGTAGAACATTTGGGCATGTACGCGTACTGGTCCTTAATCCAGGGGGACATGAAGGGCAGATGGTCTTTCTTCTCTGTAACTTTCTGCACTTCTTGCTCATAGTCCCGAATGATGCTGTTGTCTGTCTCTTGCTTTGTTTCATCTAGTGCTTTTTCTCTCTCCCTCAGACTCCTAAGAGAAGTACAGTAAGTCTCTAAGATGGTCCTGCCCTCAACAATAAGTGCCTGAACAGGAGCCTTCCTTTCTTCTGAGGCCTTCTTCAATGTTATGGTTCTGTGATCACTGTGTATTTCATCCAAACACTCAATACAAACTGGCATGTTACACTGTTTACAGTAGAGTCTGACTTCTTCAGAGGGGTGAAAACTGCACCTGTTTCCAGACTGGGCTCTTGTTTTCCCTGACAGTGTAGCCTGGTTTTGCAGCCTCTCACACAAACTTGTAACCAGGTGGTTGTCGGGCAAACCTGCGACTCCCTGGGGTGGCAGCCTGACCTGCCGACGACAGTTTGGGCACTGGAAGGTCCCTCCCCTCCCTTTATTCTTTATTCTTTATTCGTTTGGCCGTAAAAAGACAGATTGTACGGCCAGGGCAGCCCAACTAGCCAGGTGGCTATTATTAAGGGCTTGCCCTGCCGACAGGACAAACATTGACACGCACGATACAACAATACAATACATTACATTAACGTGAAGAGGTCAGGGTCATACACCTAAGGCTTATAAGGGTCGCCTAGAGAGTCCCATAGCTTCCTTTTAAAGGAGGCAATAGTGGTGGCATTGCGAGCGTCATTGGAGAGAGTGTTCCAGAGTGACGTTGCTCGGTGAAAGAATGTTCTCTGGCCTCTGGTGGTTTTGGCAAGTTCAACAGTCAGGTGGTTGCTGTTCCTGAGGGGATAGCGAGACTCAGTAGCAGATGCACGGGTTCTGGGTATCAGGGTTTGGAGGTGTGGCGGACAGTGGCCGTTAAGGAGCTTGTACAGGGTGGTGACGGTATGGAATCTCCGTCTAAACTGTAGTGATGGAAGGGACAGTTGGGTGTACAAGGTTTGGTAGGAGGGATAAGGAAGTCCATGTTGTCCACTGATCAGTCTGACAGTTTGGTATTGTACAGACTCCAGTTTCCGTTCGTCGCTCTTGGTGAGTCCCGCCCAGACGATGTTGGCATACTCAAGGCCAGGTCGTGTAATGGTCTTATATAGCCTGAGTAGGATGTCACTTGGCACCTTCTTTCTTAGTGCACACAGTAGGCCAGCAGATCGTCTTGACTTGGTGGAAATTGTATCGATGTGCTTGGACCAGGAGAGTGTGTTCGTTAAGGTGACACCTAGATGTTTGTAACAAGCAACAACTTCCAGGGTAGTTCCACCCAGAGTGACTGGTACAAGGGGCCTTGGGATGTTACGAGTTGTGATGTACATCACCTTGCACTTATCCCTGTTTGCTTCGAGTTTCCACTGTGTGAGCCAGTTTGATACAGAGCACAGGTCTCTGTTAAGTGAGGTGACTACACATTGGATTGACCTGTTACTGGTGGACAGTGAAGTATCGTCAGCAAACAAGTTAGGAGAACACTGTGTACAACAAGATGTTATGTCGTTGATATACAGGATGAACAGGGTGGGCCCAAGAACGGACCCTTGGGGGACGCCGGCAAGGGGCGATTTCCATTCAGATGTTCCGCCCTGTATGACCACACGTTGTCGCCTCCCTGCATGGTCCTGTAGACAGTCCTGACAGAAGGTGTGCTGACAGGGCAGCACCTTGGGCCTGGTGAACAGCTCCAGGCAGATGCTGCAGGACAGTTCTTCACAGATTTGTGTCCCCAAACCTGAATGTGCAGCCGCCATAGTTACTTCCTGTTTATGTGGCAGCCTCTCCCCAAGGCAAATTCCGGCTTACGTACCTACATTGTATTTGTCCTGGACTAGTCCATTATTTGGGCGTGACAGGGGACCACTTCTAATCAGTGGGCTTTAAAATAAAGAGTACAGGATTTTTAGTGTAAGTCAGTTGTTGTTTTTTTTCCAGAAATTAGTCTAGTAAGATTTTCAGCAGTGCAGTTTTTATGTTTTATTTATTATGTAAAAATTAGACGGAAATGTGTGTCCAGAGTCTAATACAAGAACACAAATAAAAGAAAGGAACATAGAGCCCAGGTCACGTCGGCCATAACTGACCGAACATGCAGGGAGACATTAGACACATAACATTATACAATACACCAGGACATACAATATTGCACAGTTTCCTTTAATATATAATATTGTCATGTCCTGCAAATAACTGACAGTGTCTCCCAGATAGTACACCCTACCAACATGGGGGACATCTAAATGAGACAATACCAAAGAAGCATGCACATTGTGCTAGATAGATGCTTTTGTTGCTTGGAATGGTTATAATCTATCATCACTGGCCTTACAATGTCCATTATGGCATAATTATATTGTTCTTCATTTTTTTGTAGGCGGCTGGTTAAGTTATTATGTGAAAAAAATATTGATACAACTGTTTTTGTAATCAGGAGCATTTTTGTGTCTAAATTCATAGAAAAAGATACACATTAGAAGTGAGACAAGCTAGCGTATTGTGAATTTTAGCTGTAGCACTAGGCAGTAAACTGCTAATATCATGCATCACACAAATACACCATGAAACATGCTATTATAATACAAGACTTCATACAGTCAAATGAAATAGACAGTACAGTCTAACAACATTCTGACAGTAGTCAGAATACATCAATCATATTACTTACAAATATTTTGTTGTACATGGTGATACCAATGTACATGTATAAGGACCAAGCAATATCCTTTCTTTTGTCCATTTGGATTGCAACAACACAGCTGTAGCACTAGGGAGTAAACTGCTAATATCATGCATCACACAAATACACATCATGAAGCATATTCTATTCAAGACTAAGTCTTCATACAGTCAAATAGAATAGACAGTACAGTCCAACAACATTGTCCTTGCAGCTAACCAGGTGCTGAATTGCAAGGAGTTTACAATTGCTGGTGTTAAGTGCAGAGGAAGTATATAAGTTGTCAGTCATCTTTAATTTGATGGTACATGTACCAGGTAGTTGCAAAGAAAAGCTGATCAGCTTGGTCTCTCAATTGAACGAACAATTATTGAACAATGGAATTTTTCATGTTGCTGTTCAGTAGGTATGGATAATGTGAACAGTGTTCTCCGACAAATCAGTGACCACCAGCTGTCCCTGTGTTGCCATGGCAACAGCATGTGGCTTCGTCATATCTGTAGCGATGTGTTTGAGGAATTTTCCTGTCTTGTCAAACATCTCCACACGTTTGTTAAAGCTGTCTGCCACAAAGATGTTCCCTGTCCTGTCTGTACAGATGCCACGGGGAGAGATCAGCTGACCTTCATCACTTCCCAAACCTCCAAACTTGAACAGAAACTGTCCGTCCTCGTTGTACACATAGACACAGTCATTGTCCCAGTCTGACACAAGAATTCTCCCTTCCTTGTCCACAGTGATGTACCGTGGGTACTTCATCCCCTGCTGCTGACCCACAGTTCTCACAAGTGTTCCATATGGCCTGAACACCTGTATTGTACCATGTAGGTGTTCAGGCCAGTCTCCTGTGGATTGTGTGATGAGGATGTGGTTCCTCCTGGTGTCCACGGCAACTCCTCTCAACTGCCCTGTCTTCTGTAGGTCCAGCTTCCTCAGCACCCTGCCCTGTTTGGTGTACCGCACGGCAAGCTCACCGGTCTCCGTGGTCCCCACCACCCACAGGTTCCCCTCCCCGTCAATGGCCACATCTGTAGGGTCCATCTTCTGTTCACCTGACACCACTGTTGGGAACTGTCGGAAAAATGTTCCCTGCAGAGTGAAGACTTGGATTCTCTGGTTCAACCGGTCTGCTACAAAGATATCTCCTTCATCTGACACAACAACACCACTTGGAAACTTAAGCTGTCCTGTTCCTGTTCCTCGTCCACCAAAAGTTATCGTTTTGGGGACAGGCCAATACAATGGGTTATAAAATAACAAGGCCGCCAGCAGGAGAAGCCATGCGACAGTCCCCAAAGTGAAAGCTGTGGTGTATGTGGGCTGGGTTTGAACAGGAGTTGGTGCTGCTTTTTCTCTGTACTTTCCTACCACCTCTGTCAGAGCAGTTTGTTGACTGAGAAACTCAAACCCTCCCTGCTGCAGTTTATGTTCTGCTCGATCACAGGCAGCAGACAGTTCATTCACATCTGCCAACACTCTGTCCCTTTCCTCTTGCAAGGCCTTTTTGTTTTCCTTGTATTTTTCTCCCTCCTGAATCAAAAGATGGTCTTTCTTTTTAGTAGCTTTTTGCACTTCTCGCTCAAAGTCCTGAATGATGCTGCTGTCTGCCTCTTGCTTCTTTTCATCTAGTGCTTTTTCTCTCTCCCTCAGACGTCTAAGAGAAGTACAGTAAGTCTCTAAGATGGTCCTGCCCTCAACAATAAGTGCCTGAACTGGAGCCTTCCTTTCTTCTGAGGCCTTCTTCAATGTTAATATGGTTCTATGACCACTGTGTATTTCATCCAAACATTCATTACAAACTGGCATGTTACACTGTTTACAGTAGAGTCTGACTTCTTCAGAGGGGTGAAAGCTGCACCTGTTTCCAGACTGGGGTTGCTGCCTTGTTTCCCCTGACAGTGTAGCCTGGTTTTGCAGCCTCTCACACAAACTTGTAACCAGGTGGTTGTCGGGCAAACCTGCAACCCCCTGGGGTGGCAGCCTGACCTGCCGACGACAGTTTGGGCACTGGAAGGTCCCTCCCCTCCCTGCATGGTCCTGTAGACAGTCCTGACAGAAGGTGTGCTGACAGGGCAGCACCTTGGGCCTGGTAAACAGCTCCAGGCAGATGCTGCAGGACAGTTCTTCACGGATTTGTGTCCCCAAACTCAACGGTGCAGCCGCCATGATTGTTTCCTGCTTATTTGGCAGCCTCGCCCCAAGTCAAAGTCCAAGTTATGTACATGTTTGCTCCGGACTAGTCCAATATTTTGGGATGATAAGAGACCACTTTAGTGGGCTTTAAATTAAAGAGCACAGGACTTTCAAAGTTTTTTTGAGGGAAAGTTACTTTCAACGGTGTATCACTTTATACAAGTCTATCCACTTGCTTGCTTTTTAAAAATGTTTAAAAATTTAAAAATGTTTTCTTGTGCATTTCATTACCTGAATGTCTAATCTTGATGTTCAATGTTGTATCTGTATTTTTGTACTTCATTGTTTTTCCTTTTCCTCTTATTTACTCTCAGGCAAGAATATAATATGTGCAATAGACTTAATTATTTATTTATTTATTACCTTCGCCAAGAAGGTTATGTTTTCAGGGGCGTTCGTGTATGTGTGTGTCTGTCTGTCTGTCTGTAAACACGATAACTTGAGAAGGCCTTGATGGATTGTCTTGATACTTGGTAGGTGGGTAGGTCTTGATGAGACCTCAAAATGATTAGATTTTGGACCCCCTAGCGGCTTGTTATGGTACTGCAGCTGAACTTCCGGTTTTGATATCTCATGATCTAGACATGCTATGGTGATGAAATTTAGATGGTAGGTAGCTCTTGTGCTGGGGAAGAAATGACGTGAGTTTAGGCCCCCTAGCGGCTTCCTCTGGAACTGCAGCGATATATTCTTGAAAATATTCAAAAGGGGATAACTCAAGAACCGGTTGACGGATCGTCGTGATTTTTGGTATGTAGGTAGCTTACGTGATGCTTAATATAATTATGTGACAATTATGCAAATATGGATGTAATTTGCATAATTTATGGGGAAATTCTATAAATCAGCTGTATTCCATGATAGGACAATTAAAGCTTGTGACATTGGTAATTGACAACGAAAGAAACACAGGAAAATATTGATTATGTTAATAATGACCTAATTTGCATAATTAATGAGAAAATCTTATAATTATGTAATGATAACTGCCTGGAATTTCATACTTGTGGTATTTGAAAGTTAACTTGAGGTGAACATCATTAAAAATAATTTATTCAAATCAGGACCTCATTTGCATAATTTATGAGGAAATGCTAGAATGCATTGTTTGTTAGTATAAGACTGTTTTTTGGTTGAGATTATGATAAAATGATATAATTCATGAAAATTAGGTTCCTATTTCTTAAATCAGGGGGGAATAATCTAATGTATAATTTGTCAGTCATAAAGATTAACATCATTTGGCGAAGGTATGAGATCGGGGAACTCTAGTTTATTAGTGATTTTACTTATTCCAGTTGTTGGACATCATTGAGCAGTTCTTGATGAGTACAGGAGAAGTTTACACCCGCCTGGACGGAACCACCAGAACTTCTGACAGGCTACGGATCGTCAAGGACTTCAACTCCAACCCAAACATCCTGATCTGTCTCGTCTCCACCACGTGAGTTTCACATCTTCTGATATATTCTTTACCTTCGCCAAGAAGGTTATGTTTTCAGTAGCGTTTGTCCGTCTGTCTGTCTGTCTGTCTGTCTGTGAACAGCATAACTCAAGAAGCTTAATATGCATTGTCATGAAACTTGGTAGGTGGGTAGGTCTTGATGAGAGCTAGAAATGATTAGATTTTGAGCCCCCTGGCGGCTTTCCTAGGTACTGCAGCAGAACTTCCGGTTTTGATATCTCGCAATCTGGACATACTAAGGTCACCAATGTTTGGTGGTAGATAGCTCTTGGGGTAGGGAAGAAGTGACATGAGTTTGGACCCCCTAGCGGCTTGTTGTGGAACTGCAGGAGCATTTGTTGAAAAATGTTTGAAGAAGGATAACTCAAGAACCAGTTGGCGGATTGTCATGATTTTTGATTTGTAGGTAGCTGAAGTGATGCTTGACATAATCAATGACAATTATGCAAATCAGGAGCTAATTTGCATAATTAATGAGGAAATTCTATAAATCTGTTTTGCTCGATAATAGGACTATGAAACACTTGTGACATGTAATTGAGAACGAAAAAAAACATCCGAGGATATATATTATGTAAATGAAGACCTAATTTGCATAATTAGGGAATTTTTCATAATTTCATAGTTGTAACTGCTGGGAATTTCATACTTGCCACATTTGGAAGTTAAGTGAAGGCAAACATCAATAAATATAATTTATTCAAATCATTACCTCATTTGCATAATTTATGAGCAAGTCCTATAATAGCCTATAATAGCCTTATCTTCCTTATAGGAAGATAAGGCTGTCATTGGGTGGAGAATATGATCAACTGATACAATCCATGCAAATGAGGCAAAATCAATTATTGAAATTGTATAATTCGTCACCCGCAAGGGTTAACATAATTTGGCGAAGGTATGAGATCGTGGAACTCTTGTTTTCATATGTATTATTAATTGTTTTATAAGTTCTTAACTCATTTCATTGTTTTCCACTTTTACTACACTTGAAGTTCATTTCTGAGTACAAATATTGAAGAAAATTGCCTTTGTTTTAGTTCAGATTGAGCAGATGATGTATTTCAGTCTTAGAATTCAAAATGTGTGTCGCTATACAGATATTTGACTCTATGCATTTGTCAGAGGTTCTAAATTTTCAGTGCTGTGTATAAATTAAGCTCTGACCCTCCATACATACTACATGTAGTATATTTATTTAGTACTTCCCCTGTCCTTGGTGCTGAATGCCTTCCCTTTAGATTATAGTATCTCAGTTATGATATGTGTTCACTTGTTAGGGCTGGTGGCTTGGGGTTGAACTTCACGGGCGCGAGTGTGGTCATCCTCTTTGAACCCACCTGGAACCCGGCCAATGACCAGCAGGCGCAGGACAGGGCGTACCGGATCGGTCAGCGCCAGGACGTCCGCGTGTACCGGCTGGTAACCATGGGAACCATCGAGGAGAACATGTACCTGCGCCAGGTGTACAAGCAGCAGCTGTCCGAGATTGCAGTTTCCGACAAAACTGCTAGGAGGTGCTGCTGCACATTATACGTCTGTAGTTATTTTGAGTGAATTTTAATTCTTAATTAACCTAAAGCCTGGCATAAGCAACTTACCTTAAAGTTTGCAGAAGGAAAACAGTTTGTTTTTGCTCTGTTTCTTCTTCCTCTTCTTATGTTGTAAAAAAAAAATCTTAGAGTGAAGTTTGCATTCTTATTTGACCTAAAGCCAGGGGCATAAGCAAATTACCTTTGTAGACTGAAGGAAAACATTGTTTCGTTTTGCTCTGTTTCTTCTTCCTATTCTTCTGTCAATGTCCTGAAGCAGACATCTGTCACCATGGTAACTGGTGCTGTAGCAACTCCCTGTGGTGTTAGGTTACATGTAGCAAGTGTCAAAACAGAATTGGAGGGACTGATCGCCCAGCATATTAATGTGTTTGTCAATGAGTAAAAATAAACAGAGCAGTAGTTTCTTAGGCTATATAGGCAATGTGGAGGTAAACATTATGCTTTGCAAATGTTACATCTAGTTATAATAAGTTTCTACTAGTTTTCTCATCTTTTCTTCATCAACAAATATTTTGTTCTCCCTCCCCCAGATATTTCACGGGAGTAGCAGGCAGGAAGGACCAGCAGGGCGAGATTTTTGGCATCAGTAACATGTTCGCCCTGCGGATGGAGACCTCATGTCTGACCAGGGACCTCATCAGCCGGGTCGACCAGATAGAGGGCGGACTGAAGGTAGTCTGGTTACATCATGCTTAATTCTCACACTCAATCATTGGATGGCTTAAACAATGTTTAGAGTTAGATGTTCAAGGGGTGGGTGTAAGAAGTTGTTCGGTGTAATGTAGCCAGCTGCTGCCACGCCACGTGCCTGCGAAGCTGGTGTGTTACACCGAAGGGGGGTTTTATATGGCTATACAGAAACAGACACAGACACTTATTCTCACCTTCTCTCATAGCTTAGTCAGCTGTCAGCTGTCAGGTGCACTGGAACATGTAATATTATATATAATAAAGTTTTGGTGCACAAGAAAATTTTTGGCTGCATAACATTTGTGTCAGCAATTTTTAAACAAGTAATACAACAGTGAGAGTTTTTCTCAGTATGCTGTAAACTAGTATATGATAGTATCTTTGGGTACATTGCCTTAAACAAATATCCAGGTGCAAAAGTTAATTTCAGCTACACTTGTTTCACTCTGAAAATGGCAATTAAAACAGACAAGATTATATCTTCAGCTTGCTTCTTCCACTTCCTTAGATCACCAAGTTTGTTAAGCCCAAGGAGAGGAAGAGGACAGAGGAGGACGGCATCTGGGAAGAAGAGGAAGAGGAGGATATGGAGGAAAATGAAGAGCAGGAAGATGAGGATGAGGATGAGAGGATGGAGCAAGATGAGGATGCAGAGAAGGAAACTGATGCAGGAAGCAGCAGGAAGAGACGCCATGACTCAAGGGAGGAGGCACAGGACAGAGACCCCTTCAGCATGCACACCCTCGCCAGCCAGGTACATGCTTGTTTGTTTGTTTGTTTGTTTGTTTTGTATAACCAGTAAAACCACCTTCACCACTTTTGTACGTAGAAGCTTGACTAGACTGTAAGGTTTAATCCATTCACACCAGGAAGGACCCCTACTGTTCTTGATAAGTGTGTTGAGTTCTTAAAGGTGTTCAAGATGTGGCTGTCTTGTAGGGCACAATATATGGATTCAAACGCAGGACCTTTAGGTGCTCAAATGTGGCCTTCATCAAGGGCCAAATATAGGGATTTAAACCCAGGACCTTAAGATTCAATATCTACTCAACAAGTTGAACCCTAGCCACAATTCAATATAATATTATAATGGTATATCTCTATGTATACATTGATGTCATATCTACGTTTATTACATATCATATCAAGTTTGTGTGACTTTAATTTTCCCTTCTTATCCCAGCTGCTACCTGAGGATGACGTTGACATGGCAACAGTTGGCATGGCAACAGAGCAGAAGACCACACCTAGCAACAGGCTCTCCACTTCCTCAGAAAGCGAAGTAGATGATTCAGATGCTGTAACATCAAAAAGGAAAAGCAAAATTGTAACTACTGGTCACAACAGGAAAAAGGATGACAAGAAGAACACCAACAGGCTGTCCACTTCCTCAGAAAGCGAAAACAGCGATGCAGACACTTCAAAATCAGCAGCAAAAAGGAGATTAAGCAAAATGAAAACCAGTCTCAGCAAGAAAAAAGATGAGAAGAAGAAAACAGCCAAATGTTCAAGAAGTAGAACGTCTACTAGACAGTCGTTTGGGGAAGACATTGCAGAGTTTTCCTCCTCTGAGTCTGATTCAGCCCCACCTCGAGCAAAGAGGAAGACAGGGAAGTTAGAAGTTAAGGTTGTAAAAGGGAAGAACGTTGCCAGAAGGAGGTCGGTGTCTTCGAGAAGAGCTGTACGAGGAAGGAAAGGGAAGATTGCGAGGACGGTGTCTGATGTCTTCAGTAAGTAATCTTGGCCTTTTATGTTGTGTTTAACATTATTGCTTCTTTATTATACTAAGGTGAAACAATTTGTTGGCAGATGTATATAAAATATTTTCATGTAGTGCATATGATATTACAAATCCTGCAATAAATGAAACTGTAGAATGTAAGCCCGATTGCAAATCAACTTCTCATTCTAAACCAGCTTACTAGGTAGCTCTATACGTGACTGTATGTTCACAGTAAGATCACTCACTTGTCCTCTTGCACTTGATGCACAAAGGACAGTACAATACAAACAAGACTTGAGTGTTAATATACATACATAAAATTTGTGTCATGAGTATACATGTGACACAAACAATGAGTAATTATATATATTTTGCTGGTCTAGTATCTATAGTAAGGTTCCATATATTAATATCATTTTGCATGATGTAAAACATATAGAGGTACTACTGTTCATGTGTAACATACTACATTTTTTACCAGGGGAGTGTGGAGTAGCGTACACCCACAGGAGTGATAAGGTTGTTGGAGGCAGCAAGGCAGAAGCCCACATGAGCCACCGAGCCATGGAGGATGTGTATGAGCTGCACCAGTTCTCACAGCAGCCGGCTAACTTTGCTGCTGAGTTCCAGGATGTAAGTATTATATGTGTGCAATATTCAGGGCTGAGAAAACAGGTTATAATTGGTATAGGTAAGATTGGAGCTGTGCATGTGGCAAGGTAGTCCAGTCACCAGGAGAATTTTCTTTGGATGTCGCAATTTTGCCCATTGCAGCACACAATACCTTTTCCAATAAAACATTTGAAAAATGTTATATCCTTAAACATGATTTCATCCTTACATACTTGTAATAATACAACCCGCAGAAAGACATTCTGCCAAAGTGCTATGCACACATATATGAAGGGTTTCAGGCACAGTGCATTCTGCCAATGTGCTAGTACAGGCTAGGAAAATTCTAAATGAACCTGTACACGTGCAGGTATTCCTTTTGGAGCCCTGATATTACTTGTACTGTCCTGTGTTCTTAACTATGCTAGTTTATTAAAATACATCATGTAATGCCTTTTCTCTCTCTTTTGTATGTAGTCCAGTGAAGAGAGTGATGACTTAGGGCCTGCAAGGTCAACAAAAGTCTCCAAGAAGAAGCAGAGAAAAGCAGAAAAAGATAAAAACTCCACAAACAGAACCCAACCGTCCCCTGTACTGCAACACCATGTGTGTAGGATGAACAACAAGACTGTGGTCATAGGAGGGACCCCTCCTGCAACTAGAAGGTACAGACACACAATGTTGCATCCAACATTTTAGTGACTGTCTGTAACAGTCACCTTCTTCGGGGCAACAATAACTCTTGCATGCATCTGATTCATACTACAGCCACATGTAGGTGTTGTTGCTGGTCCAGGAGTATTACAAAAATTTTGATGCTGTCCCAAATGTAGTGTTGTCACACTGTCATGTACTACATGTATGACATAGTTTGTGGTGCACATATATGCATATGCCTGTGTTATGGATCCCAGCAGCAATACACAATGTATCATCAAAGACTGGATACTACTGTAACTACTACCTGCAGCTGCTACTTAAACTAGTACAGTAACTACAGAATCTGATGTAGTGTCAGGTAGATCTACAGTAAACAGTAATGATAAACTGCTTCAAATTATTTTGTTGGGACAAAATAAGGTCATACCCTACTAGTATATTTTTCCAACCCAGAGAACACTTTGCTGCTCTAGCGAAGACCCTGGGGTGTTCACAGGAGGAATTGGCAGACAGAGTTCTTCAGGCTTCCACAGAGGATCGTTGGGACATGCTGCACACTTTCTACAGAAACAGGGACGCAGATCTTGGAGAAATCTTCAAGGAACTGAGACCGCAAGGAGAAAAAACAGAAGAAGAAAGATAGCACAATGTCATAGACCAAACTGCCCAGACTCAAGGGACTGATAAGCTGATAAAATCTGATCTATATGTGGACAGGTGGTCACTATAGACAAGATTCGCTTGTGTGCTAGGCCGAAGGGCGGTTCTTAATGCTTTTGTCAATGGGAAAAATTATCTATGTGACCAGCAAAAAGTGGTTACAGTGTACTCTCCAAGGAGAGGTTTAGGCTTTGACTTAGTTTTAACCTGTATTAGGCATTTTTATTGGGCTCTCTTTTTTGTGTTCGTATCTTTTTTAGGTGGCAAATCTAGATGTATACATGTACTACCCTGTCAGTTGATACTGTCTTACCAATTTAATACTGTCTTGCAGCCACCAAAATATCTGCTTGGAGATTAGTCACAATGGCTAGGTGGTCCTTACATGTATACAGAGGTGATCACTTGTGCTGGTCTGACTGTATTTTAAAGAAAGCCAGGCCCAATATGTTGTGAGACAGTCATAATATTTGTGTCAGAAGCATCCACATGTGACTAACCAGTCTGGACATGTTTGGGTGTAACTCTCTGAAGCACACATTTAACTGGGCGTGGCACAAACGTTTGTTTGAACTGTTGTCTATTCATGGGAAGCCCAAACCGACCTACAGGTCACTTCTATTGAGATGAGAAAGAGTTAAGGGTCCAACAAAATATATACTAATCGTTATAATTGCTGCTACATGCATTTTTTTGGCATCATAACAAACTATGTTAACTTTCTAATTCTTTTAGTGATTTAGTTGTCATTGTTGCAACAGTGGGGGAAAAGAACTCCTGTCTTTTGAAATCTTTTGGCAGGTACATGTACTATATTATATTGAGATGTACTGGAAAAAGAAACAATAAAAAAACCAAAAGACCTACAAAAACGTGCATGTATGAGACATACATGTATATCTGTAAGTGTATGTAAGTGTCATTATAACTGAATGAATGATTGTGTATTATACATTTTACAATTATAAAAGTACATTATACATCTGAGTTAAAAGATGATGTCAACGACCTTAACCTTTCTGTTGTTTAGAGGGCAATGACCCTTTAGAACTGCAAATGGCTGCCTGTCTTTCTTGTCAACTTTGTGGAAAGTTTTGTTGCAATGTTACCATTTAGACACAGTTTTCTTCCATCAGAATGATACATGTATAATGTACAATGGAGATGACAAAAGCCTATGGGGGGTGGGGAGTGGGTAATAGCCTTTCTGTTGTTTAGAGGGCAATGACCCTTAAGTTTGTTGCTGCAAATGGCTGCCTGTCGTTCTCTATTAAAAAAACATTGGATCAGCTTTCTTTTTATGGCAGTGAAATTGTCTGTATGATATGTCTTTTATGCTTTTATGACATGTATGTCGCGAAACTCCATAGCAACTCCCTCAACAGAAGAATGAGCACTAGTAAGGCTACACCAATTTAATTTGTTGGTTTTTGGATTTGCCTCTTCATTTTTTTCTGATTTGCAAAAAAAAAAAAGATTCCGGCTCTGAATCAACTCAAAAATGCTCATATTTTGCACCCAACAGTTGAGGAAAGTCCTTTTCTTCCTAATTCCTACATTTTTTTGTCATCTACATGTATCAATGCAGTGGTTTGATAAAAAGTTCAAAATTCATGGTTTAAATTTTAACCCAGCCCTTTGTGTTGACTTAATGGCTCCTATCGTAGCATTTGGGGCTATTTTTTATTAGGATGCCTAGAGCTGTTTTTTTTATTTACTTTCGCTCTGTCTCTTCATATTTTTTATGAAAAAATTCAGAACCAACAAATTAAATTTGTGTGGCCTAAGCCTACGCCCAAAGCCGTCCTGCGTGCTGCTTTATTTGTGGGAGAACAGTTGAGGAGTAAAGAGGCACCATGGTGGGTTCTTCTCTTCGATTCGTGGTTCTTTTTGCAGCCTGCGTTTTTTTCATGGATCAGTGTGGAGCCACAGTGGACCTTGGTGAGTTAACTCCAATCTTTATTATAATTTTTATTCCATTATTTGTTTAAGAAAATTCTCCACGCATTAGTATGTGATTCTCTAAGATATGTACCTGTAGACCTGGTGCATTTTTGGGCCTGACAAGGAAAACCACATTGTATCCTGAACTGTGAGTTAGGCTAGAGTTAGTTGGTGTTAGTGGATTGGATGTATTACCCTTGTGTATTTTTTACCCTTAATCTTTTCTTCATTTTGAGGGCCAGGGACTACCAGCCTGGTTTGAGTTTGGGTTTAGCATAAGCTTATAATAAGGCACGGTTCTGGATTGTCTCCGCATATCCAAGAACATAGATTTGCCTCAGGCACGGTTCTGGGTATGTGTCTGATCATGGTTCTGGATAAAGGACAGTTCTGGAATTCTGGATACAGCACCTGTGTGAGTGCCTGATGTCTTCCATATCTCCTATGTGTAGCCTCCCTCTACTCCCACCTTTCCTTGCAGGGTGTGGAAATATATACACCATGTTTATTTTCTACCTATACTGATGATAAAATTATTGGTATGGAAGGAGATCATGTATGTCACGTACACCACGTAGCTGTATATAGGGTGGGCAACGACAAAATATGGGCAATTATGACTGGCTCACTGCAAATGTTACCTTTCTAGTTTCTTCTTGCTTTTTCAGAGCTGGGCATTTGTGAGCCGAAGGCACGCGTGGGAAACAAGACGTACGTCATTGTGGATGAAACCATGGTGTCCTACAGCCAAGCGACATCGACATGCGCCAGTCTGGGGGGTCGCCTGGCATCATCAAGATACAGGAGCTACCATCGCGCTTACCATAATATGATGACATACAACGTAACACAGTCTTATTAACCCAGTATATACTATATATTATTTAGTCTTTTTTAGGCCACACCAATTTAATTTGTAGCTTCTCGGATCACCCTGTCCATTTTTTTCTGATTTGCAAAAAAAAAATTTTTTTTTCGGTTCTAAATTACTTGCAAAATGCTCAATGAAAGAAATATTTTGGCCCCAACAGTTGAAGACAGTCCTTTTCTCCCTGTCTTTTTCAATGTAACAATGCAATTTTGTTTCATTAAAAGTTCAAAATCTATAATTGTTTTATTTATCAACCAGGGGTGCCTTGGCCAGTTTTTTTTTTATTTTGTCCTGTCGCTCCATATTTTTTCTGAAAAAATTCGAGAAACAACAAATTAAATTGGTGTGGCCTTATGTCATGTCTGTAACTGGGATGCAATGACATTTGATACGGGTGATTGATACGGCCTGACATAACTAGCCATATCCCATGGGCTTCCATCTTTTCTATAGCCGCTTTTGAACATTTGATGATGAGTACCAGATTTGGATGTTAGAACAGTACTGATGTTTTTGTTCAGAATAAAGCTTTCATTGGACTGACTTTCACAATGATAAAGAACCCCGAGGCCACACCGATTTAATTTGTTGCTTCTTGGATTTTTTCAGAAAAAATATGAAGCGACAGGGTGAAAAAAAAACATGCCAAGGCACCCCATGATAGCCAGTCCATGATGTCTGTCCTGTATCAATCTAAAACATTTCTCTGTTCTTGCCTTTCAGAAAATTTGTTATAATGGTGGATCTCGTCTTTACTTTCGTCCATTTTGGGTGGACGTTGTAAGGGACCCGGGTGGGGCTGCAGTATGGAGACATGGCATTGATGGAGTGGATGTCAGCTCCACAGAGATGGATTCGATGTAAGTAACGAGCACATATTGAAAGTAGCAAATACAGCTATGTCTCACGGTCTAAAGAATACGGGAAGTCTTTAAAAAAAATAGTTATCTACACTCTTTCTATATTTGATTTTTTTCATTGGGCTTTATGAGGATATTGATGTAACAATGAATGTAATTGGTCTTTCGTCATCATTTTTAAAGGAGTATTTTTATAATAAATGGTTTTTATTTTCCAAACAGTACCCGTGCAGTCGCAGCCTTTATACGGCTGAATTGATGCAGGGTATCACTTAATAATCAATACAAATCACAACAATTACAACATTCAAATAATACAAATGATACACATATTTGTTCCACAATTATTTTGTGGAACTGTCGCAAGGGTCTGTGCGGCTGCCATTCAGTGACCTCAATACGGCTTTCCCCAACCGAAGTTAGGTACCCATTCACACCTGGGTGGAGTGAGGAAATTCGTGTAAAGTGCCTTTCCCATGGGCACAACGTCGGGGCGCATGTTCAGACATGTCCCAGGTACGACTCGGAATCGAACCCGGGTCTCCCGGTTCACAGTCTATTGCTCTAACCACTACACCACCCGACGCCACTTAGGCAGTAACTTATTTTTGTACAGTAACTGTTGAAAACATAAGGTATAAAGACTCTTGAATGGTCACTCTTTTTTCTTTCCCTTCTTGAGTAAGTTCTAACAGGACAATTTTTTAACAACTTTTTACTCTCTTATAGCTGGTACTTCAACAATGAGGTTAGCACCTACAGAGATGAGCCAGTAGATGACCTCAGTAAGATGTGCGTGCGCTACATGCTGAGTCCTAATAATTGGGAAGTTGCTTCATGTGATGAGCCTGCCTACTTTGCCTGTGAGTTTGACAATGGTGAGTTCCAAACTTTAATAGAAGATTCAAGACTTTAGTTAGTGTGCTAGTAGTTAGTAAGTGATCTATTGGACTCAGCTGATCGACTGACCAATTGCTGAGTGGTGTTCTGGTCATCTGAATTTCCAAAAATCGTTGAATCTTTCTTGCCTTTTCGTTCGGATTTTCACTCTCTTTTATTTGATTTGATTTGATTTGATTTATTGAAATTGCAACAGTGCAGAGGCAGCTGTTACTGGTGTTGTGTCCCGCACATAGAAGCGAATACTGGATAGACTCATTTTCACTTGAGTCTAGTGGGTAAAGTCATGTTAAGAGCCTTTCCCAAGGGCACAAGATCGGTGGCATGTCAGGACTTGAACTCGGGACCTCTTGATTCCGAGTCGCGCACGCTGCCGTTGCGCCACACAACCCCACGTATTTATCTAACCCCTTTACAGGTTATCTCCAATACCATTTGTGACTCATTATGAAAAATAGCAGACTATTTTCTTCACACACATCCCCATTGCCTTGCTGTTGGGGTTGGTAGTCCAGGAAAAAAATGACTCGGCTTGAATATAAAACACTTTGCAGGATCTGATTTCTAGCCCTGGATGTGCACATGTTTAGTGACTGTGTCCATTTAGCATTATTTTTATTGAATATCTGACAAATAATTGATCAAAAGAAACAAAGTCAGAGTTATCTCCATGCATATGCTAATTTTTTTCTGGTTTGCCTTTGCCACAGAACCAGATGACGGCCCGCATTCTCCATGTTTCCCCACGGTTGTTCTTGACACCGGAAGTCGGCCTTACGATGCACCGTTTCAGCTGCTGAGAGCTGGGGACTTCTCCACGTATGGAAGGTATGAAGTGTAGCATTGGTGTGTCATATAGTGGAACACTGTGATTCATCTAATGTTTATTTGTTTTTGTTGAGCAAGAAGTTAGTGCAGGTCGTTCGGTGTGGCATAGCTTAGCTGCTGCCACACCACTTGCCTGCAATTGCAAAGATGGTGTGTTACCCAGAAGGGCGGTTATTATAACCAGCTATACAGATACAGATACAGATAGTGCAGTCTTAAAGCAATACATGGCTACTATACCCACAAGAACTGGTCCATATACACGGAAGACCTGAAGACTGTGTGTTAAGTCAGTTGTAGGTGGCCTTGACTACTTTATGCTTTAAAAATGCTAAAACAGCAGACTGATGAGCTGCTTGCTTTAGATCTTATAAGAGTGAGCATATGATCTAAGATTTCTTGTGAGTCTAGTGGGAAATGAAAATACTAAAAATCTATCCCCTTTTATTTTTTTCAGCATCGTCCATCTGGATTGCCCTGGAGACTACAGCATTGCCTACAAGTGGAGGCTTCGTGTTGCAGTGGATGAAGACCCTACAGTTCTGATGGATGAAAGTTTTCAATTAAGAAACAAGTACGGTGCTTCTGGCTTCCCATTAAAGGCATCCAGTGCAGTCTTTAGGGTTTGGAAACCCGATTTTTCAAAGTCAATATTCTAGTTATTTATCAACATACTGAATTGAAACCACACTATCCCAATGTATATTGACCCTCATGGAGCAAAAATACCCAAAATTCTGACGGAAAATGGTTACTGGAAGGGCCCTTACATGATTTTTAAGGTACCTCCCATAAAATAAAGGACTCATCTTGGGGCTTGTTTCTCCAGTTTAAGTACCCAAAGTATGAAATAATGATTGAAATGTGCTAATATGAAGCAGTATGTGTCAATATCATAAAGATTTCTTTATTCAGAATATTTCTAGTTTTGCTGCTCTGAAATCGCATTGGATGCCCATAGGTTAGAACACCAATTTAATTTGTTGTTGAATTAGGTTCTGAATCAACTGCAAAATGCTCAATGAAAGACATATTTTGGCCCCAATTGTTTAACAAAGTCCTTTTCTTCCTAGTCGTTAAAGTTTTTCAATGTAACAAAGCAACTTTGTTTCATTACAAGCTCAAAATCTATTGTAAAACTACTATAATTCAGCCTGGTATGTTGACTTCATGGCTCGTATCGTAACATTTCCAGCTTTCATGGGATGCCTTGGCCTGTTTGTTTTTTTTTAATTTGCCCTGTCGCTTCATATTTTTTCTGAAAAAATCTGAGGAACATCAAATTAAATTGGTGTGGCCTTAGAACGCTTGATATACATGTATACTAGGGTTTCTGTCAAACCAATACATTATGTACAATGATAAGGGATCAAGGCCTGCTTGAAGAGGTGGTCACCTTGGCAGGTTTGTACCACGATAAAAATCCGGTTCTTCTTATGTTATCATAATTATGTGTCTTTCAGAATCCCCTTGACGGAAAAAATTTTTAAAAACTGATCCAACGCTTCCGAGCTTGCCTTCTTTGTTTGTCAAGAAATTTACAAAAACTCGATTTCTAGTTTGATATTGCTTCATATTTTATATTTACTAAGTTAAACTGTTTTTTTAAATTCTGTAGTGGTGTCATTCTGGACGACAGTTCTGTCTTCGTCCCTCGAAACAGGCTGGATCTTGGTTATACAAAGTACCTGCTGGAGTTGTACGTATCTGTGGCTCATGGTGGAAACAGTGACGTCACAACCGCAAGGGTTCCCATCTGGATCGAGTTAGAAAAATCTACGCCTCGTTTTGTGATCCTCGGGGGATCCAGGAGGTACGTGTGTAGATTCAATTTCTCATGTTGGAAATAACGTAAACGGCGGTTTCAGTTTTAACTTGCTTCTACCAACACTGATGAACTTTCAGTATTTATTTATGAAGATTTACTACATTTGTGGAAGGATTGACATACACACAGTCTACAAGATGTCAAACCTGACACCAGATTATAAGGTTTGAACCACTCACACCGGGAAGGTCCCCTACTCTTTTTGATACATGTGGTGGGTTCTTTAACGTGCGTGGGGTGTGGCTCTCTCAAGCACGGGACCTCCATTTTTAAAACGTCCTATCTGAGGGACGTCCCTAACCAAAGCTAACTAACTTACACCTGAGTGAAGTGAGGAAAGTTGTGTAAACTGCCTTTCCCAAGGGCACAAGATCGGTGGCATTGGGCAGGATTCGAACCCGGGACCTCTTCGGTCTGAGCTGAACACTTGACCATTATGCCACACGATCCCACAATATAAGATTTAAATCGGCCTATAGGCTGGCTGTTTTTCATTAACGTTTATGAGGGTTCACTGATGTCCAAGTTTCTTCACTGTCCTGTAGGTCCCAAAGTGGTGGATTTCTGATGGATTCTTGGGTAGACGCAGAAGTATACGATGATTCGGCTCTTAACGGGATAGGCACTGCTGGTTTTTACGGCACAGAATGGTCCTGGACATGCCGGCTTCCGAACGGTATGTTGTTGCGATTATGTGTCTGAAACACTCGTGTTTTTCACCTTATTTTTATGCCGCCACCAATTCATGCTCGAGAAACGCATGAACAGACAATGCTTCGTTGTCTTTCAGGAAGCGACTGTGGGCTGCAGTTCAGGCCCCGCGAAGACAGAGACCATTATAATAGAGTTCTGTATATAAATCACAAAGTCGACACGAGACCTCGGTGGTCTGACCCAGGAACCTACATCATTCGAGTGGAGTGGAGTGACTGGAACAATGTTGACTACATCCCATACGAGCAGGAGGTGACGCTTTTTCCTGCCGGATTCCCCACCTGTCAGATCAGGTAAGAACCAGTTGACAATCAGACATAGTGGATGCCCCATCCTTGGAGTCTTTCCAAGTCTTTTCACTTTGTGAAAAATCCAAATATTAAACAAATGAGATCGGTTGGCCCAGAAAGACTTTAAAACACCTAGAAGACCTACTACCCTACCACTGAAATGAACAAAACAACAACAACAACAAAAACATACTAGACTGTAGACTGTGATGACCCGACCCTCTCCAAACATAGTGAGGCAGATTCATCATTATGCTGATGTTAGCCTCCTCAGCCTAAAGACTTTTGCTCACCTTCATTGTATCAATGTTTACTACACTTTAATAGGATCACCATAGCACATCGGCAGAATGTATTGTGCCTACAAAAACTCTGATTTTTCACGTTTTTTGTTGGATGTTTGGTCACTGTTCTATAAGAATTTTGCCTGTTGCAGAGAATGTATTTTCCGAGATAACATTTGGAAACTACAGACGGGATCTTAACCTTATATGCACAAATACGATCTAATATGAGACATTCGGCCAAAGTGCTACATGTCACAATACATTACATAATCAGTGGTGGTACATGTCATTGAATCTTTTGCAGATGCACCCCTTTTGACAACTGTAACTTCGCGGCCGCCAAGTTCGACCAAAGACTGAGGCTGTGGACAGAATGCACAGGCATGCAGTCTGAACACTCCTTCTACTGGAGCCTGGCACAGTCCCCGGATGGGTTTGTCGGCATTGATCTGGAGAACGACACTCTGACCGGCCTGGATGGAGACCAACTCATTGTAAAAGCCAATGTGTTCACTGTAAGAGTTGCTTTGAAAATTCATAGTCTTATTGTAAGTTATGGTTGCGTTGTTAGACGCATACATTCATGAAGAACTTGGTCATATTTTCATTGTACAATCATCGTATGATCAAAGACAGGGTGAGACCATTCCTGGGATAGGTGTATGTGTCCCAATTTTTTAAATAAGGTGCACCAGTGCATCCAAATATTTTCATAGGTTTACGTAATTATGTAAAGATATAATTTTATATGTCTAGTATTATACATAATATTCTTGACATCTACATGTCAGAAAAATAATAATCTTTTTTCATATGGTGCACCTAAAAAATTTCCTGTACACCCAATTTTGGGCCAGTGCACCTATTCCCATAAGTAAATTTTGAGCCCTGTGTTATGATCCTACAAAACATAACTCATTATCATGACGTTTCCTCCAGGAGCCAGGAGAGTACATCCTCCGCCTGGACATCCTGACCAACGGCGTTCTCTGTAACACCAGCAGCTGCAGCTACGCGGAGTGGAAGTTCATCATTCCTGTCCCGCCGGCAAACGCACGTGAACCTGTCTGTGCTGCCAACATACCAGTGCCTTTCTCTTCTGGTAAGAAATTGCCAGGCCAGGATTCTCTGATTCTTTGATTTTGTCAAGATTGCTGACACAAACGTGTAAACCTTACTGCAGTATTAGGTCAAAAGTGCAGTGAAGTCTACATATCCCGTCTACTGTCTCTTTGCAGTGAAGGTCTCCCCATTTATTTTTGGTGTCCAAGGCCTTGACTGAGACATCAAAGAGTAAAAGCTGACTTAATTCTGTAACTCGGTAACTCCGATGCAGATAGCATGTTTATAGGCGCTACCAACTGACCCGGCCAATGGGTCAGTTGGTAGCCGATTTAGTAGGAGTGTCGGATTTGAAGCTGGTGCTCGGGAGGTCGTGGGTTCGAACCCCGGCCCGGGACTAGGGTTTTTTATCTGTTTCTACTTGCTCCTCCTGCTTCTTACATTGTCTCTGTCACAGTTGAGTGTGATCAAACTCGGCCGTACAGTGAGCTGAACACATCGTGGACAGGAGAGGGTTGTGAGTGCCGGGAAGTCTCCAACCTCTGTACAGTCAGCCCGACGGAGGGAATCGCCCTGACCACCAGATTTGATATGAGCTGCCTAGGTACGTTCACATCTCAAGGCTTGAAATAAATTTTTGGGAATAGGTGCACTGGTGCACCCAATCTAAAAAATTGTGTGCACAAAAAAATTTGGGGTGCACCATATAAAATACAATGAGTAGAATGTCAGCAAATTATTAACATAAACATATTAATTAGTTTTAAATTTCAAAACCAATATGTTTCATAAAGAAAAGTACTGTAACAATGATTTGATTATTTTTATAACACTCAGATGTTAAGAATATGATACTACATTAATTTTTATTAACAATTTTACATAATATGTATAAAATATTTGTATGCACTTCTGGATAGTCTCTGCATATCCAAAAACTTAGATTTGCCCCAGGCACAGTTCTGGATGTGCGTTGACTACCCAGGACCATGCCAATGCATAGCAGCTATAGTCTGAATAAAGAACGATTCATAGTTGAATTAATGGTATGTGGGTTGGCGGTTTTTGTCTAACTATCGTTCTCTGTCTCTAGACTTTGAAGGCCAGGGTGCGATTCGGTACGAGTTCTACTACAGAACCAGAGCCACAGCTTCAGTCAGCACTCTGAGGACATCCCAGTCTGGACATTACAACTTGTTCTACTATGGGATGGTGAGATTTTTATTGCCTCACACATGGATCACTTTTGGCAGTCTGCTGAAAACAAAACAAGCTCTCATTTGCGAAATCAATGATTAAGATAATGTATAATTCATCAGAAGATGCAGAACACAGTGGATGATGATGATGATGATGATTTATCAACCGGAAGGGTTAACATCATTTGGCGAAGGTATGAGATCGTGAAACTCTTGTATTGAAATTAACTTTAGGTCAGTGTTGAGACCATGTTGAAATCCTGGGCCATAATTTCCAACATTGACCAGACAACATTTTGTTTTTACCACAATTTCATGGCTGATTTCATATCCCAAACTTTTGTTGTTGTTGATGTTTTATGTTTTCTTGTGTCTCTCATTTAAATCCTATTCAACATCTACAAAATGTAATGTCAAGGCAGATCCTACAGTGGCCAGGCAGTATCCATTGCCTGCTGATATTGACTACCAATATTAGCTTTAATTTGGTGGCTAATGGCAGCTCCTCTGGCAAAAGAACACCAATTGCTTTGCTATTGGCCATGATGGCTAATGGTCATTCCTGACAGGCCAGTGGATACTGCCTTGACAGTGGGCATTTAGCTTGAGTGGCTAGTGGTCACTCCTCAGGCCAATGGTCTTGCCACCGTAGGATCTACTTATAGTGATCATTCATTGACAACCTCTACACCAGTGATTTTTTGTCTCTCTTTAAACAGTCGCCGTCACCGCGCCCATTCAAGCTTCCGTCCGGCCTGGCGTCTGATGGCTTCAGGGTCTTCATCTTCGTGCAGATGTTTGATCAGACGGGGACTTCAAAAACAAGCCAACTGGAACTTACGGTAAGGGTGATGTTACTAAAAGCAGTGGTGAAAACAAACCAACATGAAGTGCTGTGATATGCCCTTTCACTTTGGTGAAAATGAGTCAGTGGTTGAAACCTTACAGTCTGGTCTCAGGGTTGACGTCTTGAAATTTTAAAGGCGATAGTCGCCAATTACATGTACATGTATGTCACTCCTTCCACATCTGTGGTAAATCTTAATAAATGAAAATGTGCAAGATGAATTTCAAGATAGACTTGTTCTGAATAAACACAGTTACTGCTTAAAATAGCCGTTTAAAAGGTGGGGTCGAATGCTTGAATCAGAACCAAGAGGTCCCGGGTTCGAGTCCTGACACTGATCTTGTTCCCTTGGGAAAGGCATTTTACACAACTTTCCTCACTCAATTCAAGTGAAAATGAGTATTGTCCTGTAGGTATTTGTTTCTATTGTGGGACACAACACCAGCAACAGCTGCCTGTGTCCCACGTGTATAAATCAAATCAAATTAATAAAAAAAAACCTTGTTGTCTGCTTATAACAGGTTCGGCTGCCTGGTGCTTTTGAGGACCTTCTTGCCGCTATCGACGCCACCAACGCTGAAGTCCATCAGGCAATCCGGTGGGACAACCAGATGGAGGCTGTGCACCTGAGCACCATCACCGCGACAACTCTCAACAACATCCGAGAAGAAGGGGCGTATGAGGTGGTGGACTGGAGACTGGTGAATGCATCTCTTGAAAAAATTCAGTTTGCATTGAATACCACTAGTAGTATTATATAAAGTAAGCAAGCTGGTGGCAAGGTAGTCTTGTGGAGGCTGTGCACTTCAGCACCATCACGGCAACAACTCTCAACAACATCCGGGAAGAAGGAGCGTATGAGGTGGTCGACTGGAGACTGGTAAGAGCAACACATCTCTAAGTTTGATTTGCATTGAATACTAAGTAAGCCACCTGGTGGCAAGGTAGTCTTGTGGTATATATATATATATAGGGTTGTTGACTCAGAATCCAAAGGTTCTGAGTTTGAATCCCTGGCACTCAGGCACCATCATGGCGACAACTCTCAACAACATCCGAGAAGAAGGAGCGTATGAGGTGGTCGACTGGAGACTGGTAAGAGCAACAAACATCTTAAATGAAATCATGGCAATTTGCATTGAATAAGCAAGGCATTTATCCTGATATATGCATGATTATCATCTAATTATGTCATGCATCATTTAGGCTACCTACATGTACCTACAAAAAGTCATGACAATCCGTCAACAGGTTTTTGAGTTATCCTCCTTCAAACATAGTTAAACTGGCCTGCAGTCCCAGTGCAAGCTGCTAGGGGGCCCAAACATGTGTCACTTCTTCCTGTTTGCTCATAACGGATTCTGTTCCTTTCCAGGCACGACAGTCAATCATCTACAATGTAGGGAGAGTTCCTATAGAGAAGATAGAATCCGTTATCCAGTCAGGGGAGTCTCTTATTCAGGCTACGTATTATGATGATGAGGTTCCCGCAGATGCACAGGTATTTGTTACTAGTTTGGTACCTGCTTATAACTTCATTGGATTTACCTTAGTTTATGCAATAAATATATTTTGAAAGAGTTTTTGATCTGTCACCATGGTAACTGGTGCTATAGCAAACACCCTTTATGTTGAGTTACCGTACATTATGTAGCAGAACTAGAGAGGCTCCTTACCATTAAAAGATTCTGAAGAAAAACAAAAGCAGCAGACCAATGTGAAGGTAAACTCTATGCATCAGCTGTGCAAATGTTACCTTAAGGTCTTATTGTAGTCTATGTTAACCATTTTTTGTTATACATTTTTGCTTTAGACCAGTGCAGCAGGGCAGCTGTACAACATGGCGAAGTTTGTAGCCAGGAAAGTCGACCAGGGGGAGATGACACAGGACCTACTGGAGAGGGTGGCTGGCATCGTCTTCACAGGTTAGCAAGTCTCTTTCAAATGTCCTAGTCAAGTGGCTAGTCTAGCGGACACAAGATCAAGGGGTCACTGGTTCGATTCCTTACATTTATGGCTTGGCTTGTGTCTTGTAAGGCCACACTGACTTTTTAAAATAATATTATGGATGACATCCTCTGAAGACCCCCAAATTAGTGCGCGTGGGCGAATAAAAAAAATTCTGGCCAAAAATATAAATGCCACTAAACCGTTGGCATTGTGAATTTGCAGCAATACCTAGTGACGTATATGACAATTGTGGGATTTATGAATCAGCACTGTACATAATACTATGTAACTCGTCTGAGTGCCATCCTCCAGAGTTACCATCGGCTCCGTATTAAATTGTCTTTTTTCACTCCATCCCAGTGTTGAATTGGTACCAGACTTCAGTTGGGGAGGTAAAAGGCAGTGTAAGAAAGGAGATGTCCTAGACACAGTAAACGAGCAAAAGGCTACTGTAACTCTAACAGTACACATGTACTACCAGTCAAAATGTGTATGCCCATTTGTCTAATTTCTTCTGCAGCTGCCTACAATGTCTTCAAAAGTTCTGAAGTTGTTGCAGCCTGGAAACACACCGGAAACGGACCAACTGAGATAGATACGAACATGGCCGAAACTTTGCTCAAGGTTAAAAGCTTTAATATTATAAGAAGTGTTTTGTGTTTGGTCACATTGTCACACCTGCTTACATCACACTCACGACTTATCTAAAAGCTATTATCATCGAATAGATACACAGATGGCAGAATAGAAAAATGAAGTTTAACTTTGTCAAAGCATATCTTTACTGTTTTCTTGAATTTAAATTCAAATGCTTCCAAGCCCATTAACTATATTTTGCTGGTAAGGTTCTCTACAAAAATCTTAGTTTGTATCACTGTTTTTTGGTTGTACAATGTATCTTCTCGTTGATTTTGAACATTTTTCTCACTGATTGTTCTTACAGAATAGAAATGCCACCACCACAGCTTTTCTGGCCATCGATGAGCTGACTGACCAGATTCTGAAGGGAAAGCGACCGCGGGAAGATGTCACAATGATATCATCACAGGATTTCCAGGTAAATGTCTAAAATAATACATTCCATTTTGAAAACTTTGAATGTAGAATTCACACAACACTCTTATTCAATATGACATAATTTGATAGTATTTTGAAAATAGCTCATTGATTTATCATATGTTGGTACAAAATAATGTAACGTTAGCATTTTGCCGATATTCTTTTAGCTCTCTACCGTTAAATACTCTGAGTTTGGTGAAGCAGCAAACTGTTTCTTTGTTTGTTTCTTTGTTTGTTTATTCTAACCTTTGGTTTATCTATGAGAACCTCACATTGGCCATTGCTTTTCATTGATGTCATGAGGGAACAGGTAAGGGTCAGAAAAAATATAACAAGATACAGTTTACATCATTACAGTTTACATCATTTTAATGAATGTAACTGTATCTTAAAAGGGTTCTGTAATGGTAACACAATGTTCAAACATTCTCTCAATATCATGTCTAGATTGCAATCAACAGAACTGACTGCCGCACATGGTTCAATGACGTGAACTACACCGTCCAATTCACCGACTTTGAAGAGGGGACCTGGTTCCGACTGCCACCATTTCCTGTGATCCTGAGGGCATACGCACGATCAGCTTTGGTAATCTTATATATACCTACTACCATTTTAAATCATTATGTATACCTTTGCAGCATATTGTTTTGCTCTGTTGCTTCTTCTCCAATCCCATACAAGTATGGTCAATGACCTGGACCAGACGTCTGTCACCATGGTAACTAGCTGGTGCTGAAGCAGGAGTAGGACAGAGCTGGAGGGGCCAGTTCACCATATACGTCTACTATACTCCTTGACTTGAAAGTAAATTTGTTAAGTAAGAATATTGAACAGAGCAGTAGTTAAATTTGTTAGACTAAAATATACATGTAAGAGAATGGTACCTTTCTACTGTACTGTTACAGTTACTGCTGCAGCAGTTAATGCTAATTTTTACAACCAATTACAGTTAGTAACCTCATATAAAACAATGACTTGAAATCTATGTGGTCAGAGTTTTAGAAAAAAATGTACAAGATTCTGGTCATCTGAATTTTCAAACTTATCTTCCTTTTCATCTCTCCCAACCCTAGAACATTAGCGGTGACATGGATGAGGATCAGCTCACAGCAGCTAGGAGACACTTCTGTGGGTACGATGGTTTTGGAACACAGGTGAGATTATGAACTTCAAGGCAGTAATACGATGAAATACTTGAAAAGCGAATACTATTCACATAATGATGTAACTGAGCTTTTTTTTTCAATTATAATGCTAGCCTTAAGTCGGTAATATAAATGACTCATTCTGTCAAAATGTTTTGTTAGAATAAGCAATTCAGCCAGCTATCACTACTACTACTTCTACTACTGTAACAGTAACTACTACACTACTAACAGTAACCACTACTAACTACAACATTGTTTGTACTACTGCTACTACTACCACAGACTACTACTATTACTATAAATATGTTTACTACAATTAAATCTACAATCATTCTTCAGGTTTTCCACAGTCGCTGGAGGAACCCTTTCGAGTACGCCACCAACATCACTCACCGGGACCTGAAGATCGGGATAGGAGGGCTGCACTTCACCGACGCCTTGGAGAGGAAGGGGATTTCTGGTCTGGAGGAGCCTGTAGAGTTTTCTATCCTCAGGCACAACCAGTCTGTGGCAGCAACGGAGTTTGGTGACATTGGAGTGGACGGGACAATTGTGGTAAATTTATTATTCATATAAGTTTGGCCATTACTTTTGTATGGTCAAGATATGGTCTCAGTTTGTATTATTTTTCATTGCTAGCATTCATAACTTGCAAGATAATGTGGTAAGAAGCAGCATTTGCGACAGGTTGCTGAGGCAGGATAAGTAAACAAAATATGCAAGTGATTCATGTGAATATTAGATAAAATATAGTAGAACGAAAGGGCAACACACCAGGATTAAAATTAGATTTTGTAGATTTGGCATTTAACGTACCATACATTTTTGTTGTAACCGTTGTACAGCATAGTTACTGTATTTATTTAATAGATAAATGTTACCTGAAAAACTTCCAATAAGACATGGTTGCTAAGACCTGCTGTACTGAGGTTTAAAACAATTTTGTTTTTAAAAATGCCTTTTTCCTTTCAGTACACCCCCTTTAGGTACAACAGCACCCTGGACCCAGCCGACACTTACATCTTCCTGGCTCCCAGGGACCCCCTGGTGTCCCCAACCTTTACCCTGTACCTGGCATACGGCATCAAACCTAACGCCTCACAGTTCGACCTGACTGCTACTCTGCCTGTACCTGTAAACAACAGGTGTGTGAAATCTATACGTTAGGGTCAGTTTGTTTGAAGATAGCTGTACGTCACCATGCATAGTAACTGGTGCTGTCACAGTGGTAGACACTCTGTGGTGTTGGGTTACAATATGTAGCAAGTGGCAGAACAGAGTTATAGAGGATGGTCACATATGATTGTGTTTGAGTCCATCGTTTGGTGTGTACATGTAATAGAAAATGTGTAATAGTAAATCAGTAACCGAAAATAGTTTCATCAGGTTGGTAAAACTTAAGAGATAGGGGAATTCTTTTTACACAACCAAAGAGTCTCACCTCGCTGACGTTTCGGTGTCTGTCAGACACCTTCTTCAGAGCTTCTGACTGGAGTACTGCATCTCGCCGCTATATGTAGCCGATGTAGGTGGCGCTTTTGCGGCGAGAACACTATCCCAAACGTGGCTTAGTTTGTACCCCCCCTCGTCCCGGTTCATTACAGGGGTTGACTTTCTGATCCAAACTGCCTCCTTGATCCAGCGGGTTCTTCTATTGTCATAGCCACAGCTCCCATCAACTGTAGGCCGAAGTTATGGAAGAGGTACGTTGACGACATCATGGAGATTGTGAAGAGGGGGGTACAACAGGAACTTACAGACCATCTAAACAACACTGACCCTACGGGGAGCATTCAGTTTACACACGAAGAAGAGAAAGATGGCACGCTACCCTTCCTCGACACCCTTATGGTAAGGAAGGAAGATGGCACAGTGAAAACTCCTAGTATACAGAAAGTCCACACACACAGACCAGTACCTGAATTTCCAATCTCACCATCCCCTTCACCAAAAACTCGGAGTCATTCGCACCTTACTAGACCGGTGCAATGCAGTAGTCACTGAAGATGCAGACAAAGCACTAGAGACACAACATGTCAAGAAAGCCCTAACACGGTGTGGTTACCCACCATGGACATTTAAGAAAGTGGAACAACGAAGTAAGCAACCTAAGCAGAAGGATAAGAGCAACAAGCAGGAAGAAAAAACGAGGGCCATGGTCATCATCCCCTATGTCAAAGGAATCACAGAGCCCCTTGAGAGAGTGTTTAGAAAACACAACATCTCCACCGCAGTGAAGCCAAAAACCACACTGAGGAGTCTGTTGGTCCACCCAAAAGACAAACTACAGGACACGGCAAAAACAGACTGTATATACAAGATCCCGTGCAAGAGCTGCAGTGAAGTTTACATAGGGGAAACGGGACGCACATTTGGGACAAGATTAGAAGAACACAAGAAGGAAGCTGACAACATGGACACAGTGAAGTACACAAGATCACAGAAAAGACATGCACAAAAAGAAGAAAAGAAATCAGCAGTGACAGATCACATTGCTAGAAACAACTGCGTAATTGACTGGGAGGGGGCGAAAGTTATAGACAGAGAAGACAATAGAAGAACCCGCTGGATCAAGGAGGCAGTTTGGATCAGAAAGTCAACCCCTGTAATGAACCGGGACGAGGGGGGGTACAAACTAAGCCACGTTTGGGATAGTGTTCTCGCCGCAAAAGCGCCACCTACATCGGCTACATATAGCGGCGAGATGCAGTACTCCAGTCAGAAGCTCTGAAGAAGGTGTCTGACAGACACCGAAACGTCAGCGAGGTGAGACTCTTTGGTTGTGTAAAAAGAATTCCCCTATCTCTTAAGTAAATCAGTAAGTTATATTTAGCAAAATTGGTCCTCCTTACATCTGTGCCTCCTCAGTGCTATATGCTTTAGCGACAGTCAATTGGAGTATACATCTGTTGTCAAACAGGTATCTTAAAGGTTTGGATGCAGACAGAAAACACAAATTCTTTTTTCCTTGTAGGTATTCCCTTGATCTGGTTGTGGAGGAAAACGACACCCTGACCGTGATGTCAGACCCATACAGCTGGCATCTACGTCTCGGTGACGTGGGCTTTAGTTCAGACAGCAACGACACCAACTGGTACCTTGGTGAGTTTTTGTAGTATCCAGAACCATGCTTTATCCAGAACTGTGCTTCTGTGATCCAGACCCATGGTTAGTCCATGCATATTCAGAACCATGCCTGGACGAAATTTCATGTTCTCGGATAGGCAATCCAGAACCGTGCCTCAATTCCTTACCCTAACCATAGAACTACATGTAGGTAGGCATGGTTCTGGATACGATAGTTTTGTTAGCTAGATGATCATGAACAGATGTACCATTTACATACAAGCTACATGTACTCTCTTGATAATTCTTGATAATTAACTGTCATATTAAACTTCATTTTGATTTAACAGTTATATTCATGCTGATGCCATCATGATGTAACTTTTTAGAAACTATTTGTGACAGTTATTATATTCCCCCAATAAGCTGTGAGTGATTCTATCCCAAATAAATTGTTCATCATTTAATTTCATCATCTAATTTTTTTGTAGGAATTGAGCCTACAAGCACAGATGGCACAAATCCTGGAACAATATCGTTTGCAGTCTTCATTGAGCCTGTAGAATGTGTGTTCTTTAACGAGGAGGATCATTTCTGGGACACAAGTGGCTGTGAGGTACGGTTGCTGTTTTATCTTGGACTGAGATACACAAAGGAAATCTGATGTTTCCCTTTGCTGTTTTACAAAAGAAAAAGAAGAACTTGACTGTACCTATTAAAAGGAATAAAAGCCCTGTTACAGAAAAAGGATGCTTTAGACCCTTGTCGTTGCTTGTCTTAGTCTATCTAGTAACATGCGATAAATGTAGCTGATTTTCATGGCTTTTATGTCTACTGTTCTTGCCTTGGGTTTCATGTACTGTTTTTTATTTATACATGTACTACCAATGCCTAAGTTTAGACCTTTCAAAAACTCTTATTACAGGTTTTGCCTCAGTTTAGACCTTTTGAAAACTCTAACTACAGGTTGGACTGTTAACAAGTACGATCCATCTCAGTTGCCTCTATGACCTAGTACGTTTCTTACCTTGATTTTCATGATAGTTTACATGTGTCTTTGATAGCATACAATGTACCCTAGCAATGCATCAGTTTAGACCTTTTCAAAACTCTTACTTCAGGTTGGACCTTTAACAAGTACAACTCATCTCCACTGCATCTGTGACCACCTGACAAAGTTTTCTGGTCTGGTAGCTCCAAACGAGATAAACTTCGAGCGCGCGCTGAAGGGGTTCCTCCTGCTGAAGAACCTGATCCAGAACCCCATTGGCATCATGACATGCTGTGCCCTGTTCTCCTTCTACATCGCCCTGTGTGTGCCCTGGACACGGAAAAATGATGCCAAGGACCTTGGGAAGGTATGTGCAATCTCCTATGGTCTAGCGATCTTTTGGTGGCTGCATGTCCATGCAAGACAGTGGAAAATTAGAAATTGCAACAAAAAAAATGCAGGGTAGAAAGATGGCACCAAGTTGGCAAAGCAGCATCAAATCTGCAGGACTGTATCAAGTTGGCAGCTGAGGGCATCATGAAATTGACTAGGCAGTATCCAATACGCCATCCAGAGCTGGTAGATACCAGAAAAAGGGCCCTATTCCTCCTGCTGAAGAATCTGGTCCAGAACCCCATCGGCATTATGACATGCTGCGTGCTGTTCTCCTTCTACTGTGTGTGCCCTGGACACGGAAAAATGACGCCAAGGACCTAGGGAAGGTATATTTCATGAAATCTCCAAGCAAATATTTTGGAGACTGCAAGACAGTATCATTGGATAAGGGCAGTATCCAAATCTCCACCCAAAGGCTATAGCTGGCAAAAAAAGATGCTAGTAGCAAGCACTTACACCAGTCTATCATAAAGTAGAAATAAAAGACTTTCCTGTAAATCGTTGCCATGTAGAAAGAATGACATATAGTAGCTTGTTGGCAGTGCTAATATTGTATAGATCAGTTCCCCATATGAGTACATTTTGTTTGACCATTGGCCATGGCACCAATACTCTGGAGAAAGAAGGTCCACCTTAGTAGCATGTATGTTAAGAGTCTCTAGCAAACATTTTGTGTACTGAGTAGTGACTTAACTTTTAATGGGTACTTTTCTGCCCCAGGTCACCACAGCAGCCATCTTTGATGACACAGAACATCCCAAACCTCGTTACTACATGAGGGTCTTCACCGGACCCAGGGCTAATGCCGGGACAACAGCAAGGGTACTAGTAACAAGACGCCACGCCGTAACATACTATTTTTGCTCTGTTTATTCTTCTTCTTCCATTCCAAACACACAAGGTCAATGACCTGGACCAGTCTGCTGTCACCATGGTAATTAGTGCTGTAGCAGACACCCTGTGGTGTTGGGTTACATTGTGTTGCAAGTTGCAAGAGAGAGTTGGACTAGTGTCACCATATATATTTGGGGAATCGTGTTTGAGTAAGGGTAGTAACCAGAGCAGTAGTTTGTTTCCCAATTGCTGAGTGCTAAGCAGTATGTACCATTTTAAAATCCTTGGTATGACTTGGCCGGGAATCAAACTCACAACCTACCGAATGCAAGACGAGCACACAACCCACTAGGCCTTTTCACCTTTGCAGACGTTACCTTTAAGTTTGTTATTTACAATAATTTCCTTCTTTGTTGACAGGTGTCCATCATGCTACATGGGGCGACCCGTGAGTGCGGGCCGTTCCTCCTGCACCAGCCCTACGCCGCCATGTTTGAGCGGGGGAACGTGGCCGGGTTTGTTCTGTGCACCCAGACCGACCCGGGCTGGCTCACCCACGTGCGCGTGTGGCACGATAACTCCGGCAAGGAGCCCTCATGGTAAATATTCATTGAAAATATTCAATGCAAAATAGTCAATGCAAAATAGTCAATGCAAAATGTGTCAAGAGTTGAGAAACTTTTGTGTCCCAACTCCGGCAAAGAGCCCTCATAGTAAAATGTTCTGCAACATATTTCACACCTCAGTGTGATATTTCAATTCTGTGAATTTTATAATCGTAATCTGCAATGTTCTTGACATTGTGATGTATAAAGACTTTGTGTGATTGATTGGTAAGAGTAAAAAGGCATTGAATAGTGAAATAATTCACAAAATAGTACAACCACACTGAAGCAATGGCACACTTTCCATATCTGAAAAAAAAAAGATTCAAAAGACAAACTGGTTACCAGTACTAGTTGTACGTTTCTTTTTCTTTTACATTCACAGGTTTCTGGAAAAGATTATTGTGGATGATCTACTTCTCGAGGAGCAGCACTATTTCCTCTGTAACAGGTAGGGCAATGCCGGGTTAAATTTTTGACAGTATCAGATTATTTAAAAAGCAAAATTTACAATATTGATTGTCTGAAGTAATTTCTTTGGTATCATATTTAGGCCCAATGGTTCAACATTGTGAAGTGCACCTTCTACCTTACTACAGGTGGTTGGCTTTTGATGAGGACGATGAGCAAATTGAGCGAGTTTTGCCTGCAGCTAAGGACGAGCAGCTGGTGGCCTTCAGCACTCTGTTTGCCGACAGAACTACCAAGTAAGCATGTGTGTGTGTGTGTGTGTGTGTGTGTGTGTGTGTGTGTGTGTGCGTTCGTGCGTTCGTGTGTGTGGATGGTGTTTAGCACCAAGGAAAGGCATGTTTGTGTGTGTGGATGGTATTCAGCACCAAGGACAGGCATGTTTGCCTGTGTGTGGATAGTGTTTAAGCATCAAGGACAGGCATGTTTGCCTGTGTGTGGACGGTGTTCAGCACCAAGGACAGGCATGTTTGCCTGTGTGTGGATGGTGTTCAGCACCAAGGACAGGCATGTTTGCCTGTGTGTGGATGGTGTTCAGCACCAAGGACAGGTGTGTTTGCCTGTGTGTGGATAGTGTTTAGCATCAAGGACAGGCATGTTTGCCTGTGTGTGGATGGTGTTCAGCACCAAGGACAGGCATGTTTGCCTGTGTGTGGATAGTGTTAAGCATCAAGGACAGGCATGTTTGCCTGTGTGTGGACGGTGTTCAGCACCAAGGACAGGCATGTTTGCCTGTGTGTGGATGGTGTTCAGCACCAAGGACAGGTGTGTTTGCCTGTGTGTGGATAGTGTTAAGCATCAAGGACAGGCATGTTTGCCTGTGTGTGGACGGTGTTCAGCACCAAGGACAGGCATGTTTGCCTGTGTGTGGATGGTGTTCAGCACCAAGGACAGGTGTGTTTGCCTGTGTGTGGATAGTGTTTAGCATCAAGGACAGGCATGTTTGCCTGTGTGTGGATGGTGTTCAGCACCAAGGACAGGCATGTTTGCCTGTGTGTGGATGGTGTTCAGCACCAAGGACAGGTGTGTTTGCCTGTGTGTGGATAGTGTTTAGCATCAAGGACAGGCATGTTTGCCTGTGTGTGGATGGTGTTCAGCACCAAGGACAGGCATATTTACCTGTGTGTGGATGGTGTTCAGCACCAAGGACAGGCATATTTACCTGTGTGTGGATAGTGTTCAGCACCAAGGACAGACATGTTTACCTGTGTGTGTGTGTGTGTGCCTGTGTGTGTGTGTGTGTGTGTGTGTGTGTGTGTGTGTGTGTGTGTGTGTGTGTGTGTGTGTGTGTGTGTGTGTGTGTGTGTGTGTGTGTGTGTGTGTGTGTGTGTGTGTGTGTGTGTGTGTGTGTGTGTGTGTGTTTGTGTGTGCGTGTATGTGTGATTCTTTCCTACAAGTTGGAGCTTACAATGGTTTGGAGTATAGAGCAATACTTATTCACTCACCCATTCATAATGGTTGAGTGGTACATCATATGCTTAATTGTGGTTTTATTTTTCAGTTTCATAATGATTGATCAATTGATTGATTAATATTGATTGATATTTATTTATCAATTCATTGACAGGGACCTGCGAGACGGGCACATCTGGTACTCTGTGTACGGCCGGCCTGCCAGCAGCCCCTTCACGCGGACCCAGCGGGTCTCCTGCTGCCTGTCCATCATCATGTGCACCATGCTGACCAACATCATGTTCTTTGGACGGGGGGAAGACTTCGACCGGCCGGAACCCGTCAACATCTTCGGTTTCAATGTCAAGATTCCGATTTCCTGGCCCCAGGTAGCTGCAATGTCTAGAAAGGATCATGAAGAAGTCCAAAATTGTTTGGTCCTCTAATTTAGTAAAAAATGCTTTGTATATACAGCCATAGTAGTAGGAATTTTTGTATCCTTACACCTTCATAGTTATGGCTCAGAAGGTATAAATTATATAGATCCTATACAATATTCTGGCTGTAATTTGGGCCATCAATGCTGAAATAAACAAACAATAAACAATATTGTCTCTTTGGACTAAGTCATAGACCGAGGGGAATTTTGTATCCTTTATGATATTCTTTCATGGCTATGGCTTCAAGTAGAAGGTGTAGACTACAGTTAAGTGTGTACTGTAACTATCAACTAGTAGGCCAAAACATGAAAACTTGAATTGTCGTCATCATTCCACAGATTGTGATTGCTCTGCAGAGTGCTGCGGTGGTGTTTCCTGTCAACGCAGTCATCATCTGGATTTTCCGTAGCGTCAAACCCCGGCATGATGATGGACAAAAGAACGGTATTTTTGAGATGACATGTATCTCCTTCTTTCAGTACAGTTGATCTTGTCCTAGTAATTAGATTATAATCTGAAACAGTGGTGGAAGATATGAACATTTTGTTCAATCACACACTATAATAATTCAGTTTATCATCTGTTGTTCCTCGTAACTGAGGGTTTAATAGATGTGCTTGTACACTGATGCTAAGGCTTGATGGTAGCCCAATATTTGCCTCTGTGCTATGGGTTGATGTTATGCTGGTTAAGATGGTGGAAGTCCTCAAACTAAATTCATTTATTCCCATTGATAAAAATAACCCCTGGGCTACTACAGTAACTTCTACTGGTTGATTGACACCAGCATGCAAGTTTTAATTTATTAGTTTTAATTCATATATTATCTATTTTCAGGTGCTACATCTGCTGACAACCATGTCACCAAAAAAGTCCACTCGGACAGACGTTCCAGACAGTCTTCACCAAAGAACTGTCCAACTTCCACTGAACTTTCCAGCACCCAGATTTACCTGATGAACGTGGAGCCATCCTTACCTGAACAGGTGTGTTTTCAGAGAAGATTGCATTAAGATAACAGCATTTAAATTTCTGCCAACCTACCTAGTCCAGTAGTTGGCCCTTGTATTCTCCCCTCTGTTAGGTTCCTGCCTGCTTCTATACACATGTAAGCCCTGTGTCTTTCAATATTTGCTCTTTCCAACACTTGGGGTTGCTTCCTCAAGGTTTGGAGTTGATGCAGTGCAAATATCACAAATCTATGTACTTGTTTCTTGTTGTTGAAGGTACGGAAGGAAGCTGCCCAGGTAGAACAGTGGGACAAAGTCACAGGAACAACTTCTCCAGGACAGATCAAGTCTCAAGGTTCGGCTCCCTCTTCAGTGTCTGTTAGCAGATAACAGTTCGTTTGTCTTTTTCATCTCATCTATTATGACATCATTTCCTTACTGTGGTTAGGAGACTGGTATTCATATATCTACTTGTGACGTGTGAACATGTGTTTTGTACATTTTCAGAGGTGAATGAGAAATACGCTGTACTGGACGAGCCAGAAAACTCCACACCAGGACTGCTGCCATGGTGGTTTGTCTATATTGGTAAATAACACATTCCATTAAGTAAAGGGTCCATTTTGTAGGCCTTATTCTTGTCAGACAGATCCCACCCTAACTTCAGCTAACCTTGTTTGGTTGGTGGTTGGTGAAAGGTTCATAATGAATGTGTAACACTTATTAGGAGCTTTTGATTTATTTATCTCTAAGCACAGCATTTAACTCCTCAGGTTTTCTCTTGGTATTTGTGACCACCAACACTGTGGAGTTCTTTGTCATGCTATAGTTTAGGCAGACTAACTTCCCTGGCATGTTATCTGTCCATTTTGGCAATTTCTACTCTTTCCAGCCACTTCTGAAGCTAGCCTTGTAGAGGCTGGCCTTACATTAGATTCAACTCTGCCAATCTCTAACCTTCGTTTTACTGTAAATTTCTGAATCCCCAGGTTTCTTCCTGGTGTTCATCACCACCAACACGGCAGCGTTCTTCGTCATGCTCTACTCGTTTGAGTTTGGGCGGGAGAAGGCAGAGACCTGGCTGCTCATCTTCCTCACGTCATTCCTGACTGACCTCATCCTCATCCAGCCGGTTAAGATCCTCGCCATGGCGGCTCTGTTTGCTGTGTTTTACAAGGTATTTTTTGCATTACTCATCAGTAAATCCTAATGGTTACCTGTCATTGTGACTGCCCATTGTTAAGATATAGTCAGTGCAATATGCTAGCAAATTTTTTCAGTAATATTATCTGTTCTTCCTTGCACAATCTTGGCACTGTTTGCAGATTACACAATTTTTTTTCTTTATATTGCTCATCAGTAATGATAACCTGTCACTGTAGCTTGTTATTGCTAAGATAAAGTGTACATTATGTGCTAGCAGTTGTCCTTCTGCCACCTGTTAATTCCTGAAAAAGAAGACATGCCAAGCAGCTCTTTATCTGGACATACATGACTTTTGTACAATGTTTTTTGTTGTGTTTTTGCCTTTATTTACCTCAGAAAGCAGATGAAGGAAATGAAGGAAAGGGATGCAATCTGAAACAATGTGAAGACATTGCTAAAGAGCAAAAGAAGGTAAGTTTGCATCCACTATCAACAATAAGGTCTTAGTTTATGAATCCTACCCATGCCAAGTTGTGCTCACCACAATATGCAGAAACACAGACACATAGACACACACACAAAACACACACACACACACATACAGAAACCAAAACAATACTTCCATTTTTCATGGTGAATTTGCCTCCCCTTACAGACACCATCCACCCCCAACCTCCCCCCGGACCTAACCGAGGCCCGCCTGGTGGCCATCAGGCGGAGGAAGCTCAGGACCATCCTGAAGGAAGTGTCTGTGTACACTCTTTTCCAAGACCTACCCACATACCTAAGATATCACAATCCATAAAGGCCTTCTGAAGTTATGCTGACGACAAATATGTGGAAAGACACACAGAGAGACACAGAGAGAGAAAGAGAGAGAGGGAAAGAGAGAGAAACATGTACTATACAGACAAACACACACACAAACAGAAACCAAAACAATATACAGACGTAATTACTGTCTTCCATTTTTCATGGTGTATTTACCTCCTCCTTCAGAGACCACAGGCCCCCACCCTCCCCAGTTCCCTGGACCTAACTGAGGCCCGACTGGTTGCCATCAGACGTAGAAAGCTCAGGACCATCCTGAAGGAAGTGTCTGTGTACGCGCTGTTCCTGGCCGTGGTGATGCTGGCTGCGTACGGACAGAAGAGCCACATGGCCTTCCACATGTCCAATGAGGTGCAGCGGATTGTAAAGAGCTCGGATTTTGAAGAGGTTAGTGTAAATTAATTTGAAAGTTTCATGGCAATGTCATTGTAAAGCTGAAAGTAAGGCCGCAGTAACAAATGCACATGCTCTTTCTTCTTCTGCAAACACTGTGATGTTACAAGACCAATTACTGTTACCATCGTAACTGGTGCTGTAGTAGACACCCTGTGGTGTTGGGTTACACTATGTTGCAAGTTGCAGGACGGAGAAAAAGCTGGTCACCAGATATGAATCTGATTGAGTAAAAATAAGCAGAGCAGTATTGCTGTAGTTTGTTAGGCCAGACCACTTGCGAAGGTAAATATCATCCAGACTTTGCAAGTTTCTAGCTTTTATATGACATGCATGATTGTACTATAGTTTGTTCTGGCCCTGCGTTAGGTGAGTGATGCGGTGTCCTACTGGACCTGGCTGGAGGACGCAGCCATCCCCAGTCTTTACCCAGAAGCCCCTGCAGCCGGCCCAGGCCCGCCCGTTTACCGTGTGGGACCAATACGGCTCCGCCAGGCCAGAGTCAAGATGGGTGGGGATGATTTTTGTTGCACCATTCGGTGTAAGGTGTTAAACCTCTACCCCTTTGATAAAGTGTTTGGGATCTTAAACGTGCTTGAGGTGCGGCCCTCTTCAAACACTGGACCTACAGCTTTATGTCCCATTTGATCATGAAAGGATGTCCATAACCAAGCTACACTTGGTTATGGACTACTCATTCAAGTACTAGAGTGAGGAAGTAAGTGTTAAGGGCCTTTCCCCAGGGCATAGTGTCTAAGATTCGAACCACAGAACCCACTGAAAACTCTGAATCAACAACCTAAATACACAGCCACCTTTGTCACCTACGAAAGGTAGTGGTTATACCTCTAATTATTTTTGTTCTTCAGAGCCTAAAAGCCACCCTCAATTATGTTTGATGTGCTTGGATTATCTTTTCCATCATGGCTTGTGATATGTTGAATCTACTTTTAAAAAGCTGTATTTTCTCTCTCTCCCTGCACATTATATGCATTAGATCCTGAATGCCTGATGACAGTGTCCCCAGCTAACCAGACATCAGGGTGCGGCAGACGCTATGACTACTTCAGTCAGGACGAGGGGCTGTACAGAGAAGGGTGGTCACCCCTGCCAGCAGTCAACATCAGCGCTGCCAACGGGACCAACATCACTACAGGGGCAACAGACGGGAACAGCACAAGTCCATGGAGGTACCGGCCACCCGAGGACCTACAAGGTTTGTTCAATTGTTGTTATGTCATTCTGTATTGCATGTGATTTTGTAATATTGTATACTCTGTTATGGGTGCTTGTATACCCAGTATTGCCTGAAAAACACTGCTTGTTAGGTGTTGAGTGTTACTGTTGGTGAAATATATAAACTGAAACTGAATTATTCTCTAACTCAGATATAGACCAATTTACCTGTATAAATTTTCATTTTTCTTACATTTCATAAAGTATGTTTTGTTACTAGTAATATGTAGTTTCCTAGTATCTTACATTTAGTTACTTACAAAGTAACAAAAAGATAAGACTTGTGCTTTGCCTATCTGTATCCTTTTCATTGTACTTTGGTAAGGTAACATCTTTTGTATTGATGACAGCATTTATATAAGCATTGTTACATTTTTGTATAAATTTGATGTTTCAGACTTGCCCTATGCGGGAGACCATGGTGTGTTTTTCGGCGGAGGCTACATCGCAGACACGTCCCACAACAAATCACAGACCCTGGCAACACTGCGAGATCTGAAGAACCATGGCTGGATAGATAGAGGTGATTAGTACATGTATCTGTGTACCTGCCTACTAGTAGTAGTAATTGCCTTTCCTTCTTTCCATAAGTCTCCTCCAAGCCAAAAGGTCTGACTGCCCTCTTCCCCCTGTTCTGACTCTTTTTTTTTTACAAAGTCGCATGTCACCTACTACATGTACATGTATCTGGTCCAACTGAAATACAGCATAATTTTCTTTCTCTTCTACTTCTAACTAAATATCTAAATTGATGCATTTACCCCATGTTGATCACTGGCATGGTATGATGATGCATATGGCTGCATGGTACCCCTCCCAATAAGCATAGTTACATGTATTTCCTCAGCAATTTAGAAAATATTTTTTCTTCAGCCACACGAGCCGTGTTCACGGACGTGATGCTGCACTTGCCCTACTCCAACCTGTTCTCACAATGAGATTAGATCCAATGACTAGTACCATACATATCCCCCTCCCACAATAAGCATACATCCTCAGTTTTCAATAATGAAAAAGACGCTTTCTATCTTTCCTGCAGCCACCCGAGCCGTGTTCACAGACGTGACGCTGTACTCTCCCGACGCGAACCTGTTCTCCATCGTGACTCTGCTGGTGGAGTTCCCGGGTCTCGGGGCCGCCTTCCCCCGCTGGGAGGTCCACACCGTCCGCCTCTACCGCTTCCATGGTGCCTGGGACGTCTGGATGGCGCTGGTTTACATTTCCATGCTGGCTGTTTTCACCTTGGCCTTTGCCATCAGGGAAGGTTTGTATTGAAATACTTTTTATTATAATGATTACCTTTGCAGAAGGAGAACATACTCTGTTTTTGTCCTGTTTCTTCTTCTCCAAACACCTAACCTGGTTCAGACCATCTACATCTCTGTGCTCACTGTTTTCACTTTGGTCTTCACCATCAAAGAAGATTTGTATTTGTTGTATCCAGAACTGTCCTTTATCCAGTACCATGCTCAGGCACGCTTCTAGATTGTCCATGTATTGTCCATGTTTATCCAAAGCCATTTTATAGGCATAGAACAATATGTGCAAAGTTTTGGATGGGGTACATGTAGTATAATAGTATTCTTATTCCATGTTTAATCTCTTGTGTCATCTATGATCCTTAAGTCTAATTATTTGATCATTGGAGCTGAAGCAATTGAAGCAAAGTTGACATGATTTTTTCCTGTTTCAACAGTTAGGAAAGCTTACAACAGCGGCGCCCTGTATCTCATGGATTTCTGGAACTGGGTGGAGGTGATCATCATCCTCTAGATCTATAAACACACATCTTACTAATACACCAAGAATAACTGTACACTGATTTCTCTTGTATATGTCTCAAATACAGTGAGGAAAGCTTACAACAGTGGTGCCCTGTATCTCATGGACTTCTGGAACTGGGTGGAGGTGATCATCATCCTCCAGTCCCTGGCGGCAGTCGCCACCTTCTTCTACTCTGAGACAGTTCTGGAGGAGGTGGCTGGCGATGACATCACTGGTCTCACGGGAAACTTCGTGAACTACAGGCACGCTGCTGTCTGGGACCAGGTCTGCACTTTAAAAAAAAAACTTTTCCGTGTCTGCTATGGCACTTTTTTCTGTTGAATATTGTAATACAGCCATTACTATAATAATAGTGTGATGTAACTGTTACAAGTTTTCATCTCAATACAGTTGTGTTAACAAAGAACAAAAACACAGGAAAGTATGGCACACGTCATCTCTCAGGAGTTTTTATGTTTACCGAAGGAAAACATATTGTTTTTGCTCTGTTTCTTCTTCTTCTCCAAACAAATAAGGTCAATGACCTGAACCAGACGTGTCACCATGGTAACTGGTGTTGGGTTACATAATTTTGTGCCATGCAGAACTCAGAGTTCACTGGTTAAACATCATATACATGTATATATGAGACAGTGTGTCTGAGTAAGAATAAACAATGCAGTAGTTTGTTAAACTGGACCATGTGAAGGTAAACATGATGCATTTGCTTTGCAAATGTTTCCTTTCTAGTTTATGATATGATTCATCTTTGTATCTCCCAGGTCTACACGTACATAGTTGCGGCCCTGCTGTGCAGCGTGACCCTGAAGATGACCCACCTGCTGCGGTTCAGCCATCGCGCGTCTCTCCTCACCCACACCCTCCGGCTCAGCGTCCGCCCGCTCTCCGGATTCTCAGTCATGTTCTTCCTCTACTTCTTCTCCTTCGCAGTTCTCATGCATCTCACGTTTGGCCTCCGCATGCGCTCCTACAGGTATTGTCTTTCCATAGGAACTACCTTGTCTCACCAAATTACTCAAGCAACTGTATGGACGATTTTGGAAACAGTCAGACGTTCCAGGTAGCATCCACTACATTTAGGAGCTTCTTGACAAATTTGCATCATCTTTGTCTTGTCAAACTTTTGTTTCCTTTTGGACTTTCAAAAAAATTTGTCTTCACTTATTTGCATATCAATCAATAGTTTAACAGTGCTTATAAACCTGCATTTCTCCTGCAGTCTCTTAGTGTCACTGACACTGTTGTGATAGATACATTCAAGAGAAATACTAGAAAGGTACTAGGTAACATTAATTTTTGTAAATCCAAAAATTATCCAGTTGCTTGAGTAACTGTTTTTTGGCGTATCTTATTACTTGGATGTCTAACATTCACCATCTCTTTTACACATCCGGAAATTGTTCTCCGTAATTTATCCAGTAATATAGTTAGAATTTCCAATGAGCATTTTTTACCTGGATGTCTAACCTTCATCACTGTATTACTGCAGTTCCTTCGCTCGGACCTTCGAGGCACTGGTGACCATCATCGCTGGCGATCTGAGCTTTGAAGAAATCTCCACCACGACTGGAAACCTGGGAACGTTCGTCCTGTTTCTGTTTGTCTTTGTCTTCAACATCTGTTTGATCGGTTTCTTTGTGGCCATCATTGACGAGTCGTATCATGTCGTATCAAAGGAAGACGAACAGTTAGAAAAGACTGACAACGACCTGAAAGGGTTTTTCGAGTATCAACTACAAAAACTGAAAGCAAAGAAGAAGGCAAGAAAGAACGATACTGAAGACACTTCTGTGTACGGTCCTAGTTATGCAGAACTCAAAGTGAATGTGATGAAGAGGTTGGGGACAGTTTTTGATGATCTAGATGAAAGATGAACAGTCAGTTTTGTTCTAAGCTAAGGCCACACCAATTTAATTTGTGGGGTTCTCGGATTTGCATCTTCTTTTTTTTTTATTTGCAAAAAAAAAAAGATTCTTGTTCTGCTCATATGTTGCTCCAAACAGTTGAGGGAAGTCCCTTTCTTCCTAGTTGTTACAGTTTTTCCATCTATCAATGCATTGCTTTGATGAAAAGTTCAAAATTTATTGTTTAAGTTTTAACCCAGCCTTCTGTGTTGACCCCATGGCTCCTATCATAGTATTTAGGGCTATATATGATAGGATGCCTAGACCTGTTTTTATTTTTTTATTTTTTTTATCGCCTTGTCGCTTCATATTTTTTTGCAAAAAAAAATCTGAAAAGCATCAAATTAAAATTGGTGTGGCCTTATATGCTCTCACTGGTATTGCAAAATGTTATGAATAGTATGAGTAGCAGTAATAGCTATACATAAATATACATACATACATACATACATACATTACATTTGAGCAATTGATAAATTGCTTTGTATATACATTAATATTGACTTTTGTACACTTTATGATGCGAAGTAAGAAAGATATATTTTTTCAAGGTTGAGCAGAATAATTGCACAGTGTCCAATAAAAAAAATGTTGTAACAAGTCTGAAACATGTATTTTTGTGACTTGCATTATTTGGATAATCAGGATAGATTTGGGTAGAAGTAGTCAGGAAGAAATGTAAAATTATCCGTGACGCATGGCTCAAAAGTGCCGCCTAACGGCCAGAACTATCATTGCAGAAAAGCAGGCTCATCACTGACTCATTTAACATAGCAGTAGGGATAATTCAACGTTTAAACAGGCTTATCGGTCCGGCAAACATAACTTGTATTATTTGGGTAATCAGGATTAAAAGCCATTGTCACGGCCAACGCTCACACGGTCTTAATTTAGCGCCGCCCAGTGACGTGTTTCGGTACTGCAGTCACTGCAGTATGCACTTGACCGTCCGGCGAACATATGTGTACTATTTGGATAATCAGGAGATAAAAAAAGACCACCCAACTATAACATGGTTACCACCACAGCAGTCAGGAAACTACGTGGCACTACATTCATGACATTAGTGACTCAATTGTACACCGACTGGTGGTATTGTAAAACAGGTGATTTTTCGGTCGTCTTTTTGTTTCCCCTGATTACCCAACTAGTACATTTTATGTCCGCCTAACGGTTAGATGCTTGTTGATTTTGACCAAGCACCTAACCGTTAGGCGGACATAAAATGTAACGTTACTAGTTGGGTAATCAGGAGATAAAAAAAGACGACCGAAAAAACACCTGTTTACCACCAGTCGGCGAAACTACGTACTAGTAGCCAGGAAAACCTTTCGATTTCTCATTTCCAAAGCCTTTCTTTCCTTCTCAACTGCACCTAGCTGGTTAACAATGCAATAAGTTTTTGTATTGTGACATTTTCTTTGTTTGGAGGAAAGTAAACTTCAGTTTCTGACGATGTATTGAAAAGCAAACACTGCCCTTGACGCACATACGGTCTTAATATAGCGCCGCCCAGTGATGAGTTTCAGTACTGCAGGCACTGGTATTAGCCTTCACAATGTGAGATGCCAGGGACTGCAGTACCGAAACACGCCACTGGGCGGCGCTAAATTAAGACCGTGTCACGGTCATGTGCAGTATTGTATGCTTCATTAGCTGGAGGCCAGGAAGCTGTAGTACCTTCAAGCATTGCTAGCCGGCGCTTGAGGAGATTAGGTCAAAGGTCACAAAGTTTCGCCAGGTGAGCCGGCGGCATGTTTAGATCGTGTTTCGATGGAGTTCCAGACGGATTTTACTAAATTTAGCTGCTTTTCAGCTAAAGCGAGGAGGCTCGGGTATGTAGGTGTGAATGATTTGTTCCGTTTCTGTTGATTGTGGACAGTTTCTTTATTAATTTCCCTGTTGGTGGCTATATATATATTATCGGTGATGCCTTCCGGCCCTTCGTTATTGTTTATATTCCTCAATTACACGTTGAGCCATTCTACTCCTCAAGTAATAACTTTGCTGATGACTAAGTGAACGTGTCTATCTGAGATTCTCTGTCATGATTGTGAAAATTACATTGCACTTGTACATGTGTCGGTATTGTTATTAAAGTTAATTCCACCACACTCCCTGCCTGTTTCTGTAGTGCTGGATGTCGAGCTTGTCCAGGCGATTAACCATGGCCAGATCTGACATATTCCTCCTGCTGAGGGACTGGTGCAGAAGTTCAAGGGAACTGCAGACATGCTGAAGTTATAAAACGTTAAAAAAAATACAGGTACAATGTATTCTGTTGATTATATATGGGTGACTATATACACATTCTGTGTTAAAATATGAGTGCCGTAAAATTCCCATGGTTAACTGATTTAGCAATCCAGCCTTAATTATGGTCACCTGTGTTACAGATGCATATCAACATAATTTACCCAAATGGCCGTTTTTGTGTCCGGCCCACGAGTGAAAACAGCGCTCTGTAGAAGTGGTGTTACGCTTGAGGACCTGGACTTCATGGTAAAGAGTTGTTATAATGTTCGCAGCGTTTCCATATGGGCAAACTATATGGTATTTGCTGTTTTTGTTTCCTTCAGTCAAGGAAACAATCGCGCTCATAACAAGTGTTGATGAACAAACTAAAGGAAGTCTCACATACACACAAAGTCATGCAACAAATTCTGTATATAACTTTATTCTGGCTCTTATTTTAAGCATAAATGTTGGAAAATTGACGGACTGTGCTTCTTGTATTATTGTCTAAACCCTGCTATATTAGCCATGACTTGCATGCGGCAAACATGTGAGCATCATGTATGTACATGTAAGAGGGCAGCCTTCATTTTAGAATTGATATTGTTCTTTTTGCCATTTTATTGTTCATGTTTGCCAAATTTGTGGCAGTGTATGTTAGAATGAATGTAAGAATGAAATTCATAGTCTGTAGTATTACCCATTGTCTTCTCTTCCTGCCTATGTCTCATACTTGAAAGAAATAAAGAATACTTTTCCATGATCTGTCCCTCTGGTCTTGTTTGTGTACTAGCCCAACATTTAATATATTCAGGTTAATTACACTCACCTGTGACATAGGTGTATATGAACATAATTTATCCAACTTAAGTCCCACGAAGGAGAGATATCTCCTGTGGAAGTAGTGTAAAGATTTGCCGGGGTGTAGGCGGGGTTTGGGGTATAAAAGGCCGAAACAATATTAAATACGGTATTGAGGGGAGGGCTAGAGGGATCAGGGAAATTGTGGGGTAAAATGAACTTATAAATGAAGATTTGTCTTGATTTTTGCTATAAGTATGACATACTGCGACATTGTGTTACGTGGCGTCATGCGGCACAGTCTGGTGCGGCCAGACCGGCCTTAAGGGCACCGCGGAGGGCCCTAGTTTTTGAGCCACTAACTTCCCAGACAGAGAAGTAGTGGACTCCTAAGCCATAGGACAGCTCAGCTCAGCCGTCCAAGGCTCGTACATGACAACCCACTTGGATTGCCATCTACTCCCAAAAAGAGGGACGCTGTTGTTCAATAGAGCAACATGACCACAAGGTGTCATGCCAAGGGGTCCGAAGTAGCTCTCTGCAACTTTTGTTTGTGGTCTCATCATCATAGCCTTGTTTATCAAACTACACAAGAAAATGATGCCCAACATCAGTATTTCAGTAACAGAAACCACCAAACTACTAATGAACCGTGATCCATCCATGTTTTACTTTATTTATCGCTTTATTTCTCCTGTATTTTGCTTTTTGTTGTGAGCAGACCAAGGTTTTGGGGCAAATTATGATAATAGACTACCCACCGGTTGATTTCAGGTGAGGAAATCATGTGAGCTGATGAGCGCTTCACCTTATTTGGGTAGTATTGTTGTTTTCATACTCCGTATCTTCAAGTGATCTTCAGCATTGAATAAAAACAAAGACGTTCGTTAAAAAGTCTTGATTTTAACTCCTTGATAAAACCAACCTATTTCTTAAGTCCAAAAGCAGCTAGGAGATAATCTCTGTATCTTGGCCCTTAAATTTGTAGAACCGGTACCGCGTCTTCCTCTTAACACACCAGCTTCACAGACACAAGGCGGTTCTATCATTTTAGAACGATCTTACACTCTTGTGTACACTCTCCATATACCTAACCCGGGAAGCGCTGTTTGTATAAGCTATAGGAGTCTGCCTTAATATGATAATCTATGTGCTCAAAAGTTACGATCTTCCTTCCCTACATCTGCTTGGTTTTCATTCATATGGTAATGTCTTCGACAGCGAAAAGTCCACTTCTGCAAAGGTTTTGACCAGTTCTGCAAGCGATCAGCTGATCGCAAAAACACGTTTTTACGAATAACTCAAGAAAGAAGCGGTTTCGGGCAAAGGCATTTAGCAGGAATAGAATAGAGGCCGTAAGGAGTATACTACGAAATCAAGGAGGCCGGAAAATGTCAAAAGTTTCATTTTTCTTAAATTTGAAAAGCGGATATTCATCCCCTATCACACCCCCGTTTTCGGGCCCCCGTTCCGAAAAGGGCCGTATCTCGCTAACGAAGCCTCGCTCATTCCCAGATTTGGCCATTTCGCGAGTGGGGAAACGCGATGGGCTCTTAAGGGGGTTCACCTCAAGTCTTTCCTGCTCTTGTTCTTGACCTCGGAGCGTTTTCTGACTACATAACTATGAGAAATAGACAAAGGAAGGACCGGATAGCCTCGCATTTTTTTGTTCTGACATAAACATTCTCAGATGGGTTGATATAAGCGGTTAAACCTGGCGCTTTTTTGTAAAAATTGATTCGTTACTTTACGTTATACTTTATAGAGGCATGAGCAATTGCATTTTGTTCATCATCAGTTGTTATGATTTTACTTTCATGGGTCAAGTAAGAGGATTACTTATAATTTACATATATTAGAAGGGCTGATATGAGCAGTAAAGCTTTTTTTTGCCAAAATTTTGAGTCACTAACTTCCCAGACAGAGAAGTAGTGATCTCCTAAGCCATAGGACAGCTCAGCTCAGCCGTCCAACCCCATTTTTCATTGGGGTATAACAAAATAAAAAAAAGAGGGAACACTAGACAAGAGACAGGAGGTTTCTTCACTATTTTCTTTGTGGCGCTTTTCAGGCAAGAACAAACTTGACAAACTTGGTCTCAGCTTAGTATTAATAAGTAAACTCAGCTGAGACTGACATTTACTAACACAGTACATACACTCAATCACTCACTCACTCTCGCCCATTAAGATATGTGACACATAAAAAAATGGATAACCAGCAAGCCACGTCAAAATCACTAGTTTATTGCGTAGAACCAGACATGCACAGATGTTAAAACCTTGGTTTCTAGGCTCTTGGGTAATCAGAATGACAACATTGGGTGTCCTATTATCATGAAAGTTCATCTGTGTTGGTAGCAATCATAGTAAAACGTTAAACTTTCTTCCAACACACAGTTTACAGAGATCAAATTTTCAGCGACCACTGTCGCCTTCATCAGGATAATTAATGACCAATCACTTCACAACGTTGGTAAACCGTAACTCTCGCGAGATCACGTTGTGAAGTGATTGGTCATTAATTATCCTGATGAAGGCGACAGTGGTCGCTGAAAATTTTATCTCTATGTAAACTGTGTGTTGGAAGAAAGTTTAACGTTTTACTATTGGGTGTCCTACTTAAGGGCAAGAAATACCTTTCCTATAACCTTAAAGAATTTTGAGATGGATTGAGAAAATAAAATATTCATCTGCTTTCGAACCATTATTGCTTTCAAAAGTCAAAAAACCAGGGTAGTGGCCATGTAGGAATAAATCCAAAACTGGATAAGTTTATATCCAAGCAAAACATACCTTAAGATACAGTGTTGTTTCCGACTAGTGGTCATTAGTTAGTAAGGTGACTATGTGTGCATATTTTGCTTACAATAAGCATCAACTGCAAGCTGTTAAAATTGTGCCCAAAGTTGATTTTGTACATGATCCATTTGCAGATTTGTTAGGTGACACCAAATTCATTTGTTAGTTCTAAAACAGATGATGCTGAAGTAGAATATAACCATACAAATTAGTGACAAATATATGCCTTGACGGACTCAGTTTTAGACAGTGAAAATCCCAACCCTCTGCTTTTAAGCATTTCATTTTATCTTCTCGCTTTCAATGTTTACCTTAAAATGTTGGAGAATGTTTTAGAGATCCAGAATTAATGTAGCCAGAATGATGACGACAACTCTTGAGTTACATAATCATTGAATACTTGTGTTTCCTTCTATATTTCAAACCACATTCACTTCAAAACAGGTGCAAATATTACCAGATACAACTGAAACTTAAAACAGACTGAATTTTCTGACTATTATTTACGTGCTCATCAGATCCATTTATTCTTAAGTACAAAGTTTCTAATCAATTGTTATTCTATAGTACCTAATTCTGAATCACAGCTAAACAAATTCACCCGAAAATTCTGATTCTCCTAGATGAGATCTCAGTGGAGTCATTACTTGTTCTTGGCCACCATTTCCCTCAACTTGTCTTCACTGGCGCCACACATCTCCTCAACCTGGAAATCAACAAACAAAAATAAGTCTGTATACAACTAAATTTGCAAAGGTGATGTAGCCAGAATAACCATTGTCGTGTTACAATATATGTGCAAGGCATTACCAAGGCTTGCCCGCTGGTAGTGCTGTGTGTTTGACCGTCCAACACTCATATGTGCTGAGTGCTAAGCAGAGGAAGAAGTGTGTACCATTTTTAAAGTCTGTGGTATGACCCGGCCGGGGTTTGAACTCACGACCTCCCAGTTACAAAGTTTCCAATTGAGCTATTGCACCGTACTTGAAGGCATGGCTAATTCTTGTTCATTTCTGAGCTGGTATTACTGATAGGTACTTAGTAGTGGGAACATCCAACAGTTTATTAGTCATTTTGTACATCACGCATAGTTTGGACATTTTTCGTCTGCCTTCCAGCAACCCCCACTGTAGGTTTCTGTTCATTTCCGTGACACTAGCACCCAAAATGACCATTTCTAGAAGCTAGAATTAGTTTTTTTCTACTGTTGTCGCTGTGACTATGTGTGCTGGTTAAGTATTCCATTCCATAACTGTTCTTGGTATGAAACCTGCTCTGTAAGTTTCTGTCTTACATGTGAATGTGGTGTACCGTAGGGGATGACCCCTTGTGGGGTTTGTGTTTCTGCTAGTGTAATTGTGAATGGGATGGCTACTTGGTCGTTGATGGCCTTGAAAAACAGTGTCAGTCGTGCAATCTTTCTCCTCTCTTTCAGGGTGGGCCAGCCTAGTTTGTTCAAAAGGTGTGTTACACTTGTGGTGTGTCTGTAATCCTGATATACAAATCTTGCCGCTCGCCTTTGGACTGCCTCAATCTTTTCTTCCTGGATATTTTTTTAGTAGATGAGAACTCACCTTTGCTCCATTCTTGTAGCACTGGAATGTGGGCATGGCAGAGATACCACAAGCTCCCGCAGTCTCCTGTAGGGAGGTGCAATCATTTCATTTCATTTCATTTATTGGTGATGCCAACAACGCATTACAAGTGGGAGCCAGGCAGCCTAAAGGCTGGTGGCGGCTGCCACTAATACATACAACACAACACAGGACAAGTCAATACAATATACAGGACCTAACAACAAGTTACGAATATTAAAATAGCAAAACATAACAATGCATTATACAATATCAAAGACACATAATCATCAAATTAATATAGTAATCATAATAATATCTATAATCAAAAGTGGAAGGGAAAGATGGAACGGTTGGAAAGTCAGAAAAGTTAAAAAGTTGTTCAAAAGTTAGTAATCTGATGAGAGATCATAGACAATGACAATGAACTTTATTGCATAATCACATACTACTATGTTAGATAACTCAGGTACAAGCTAAGGGTACGGGGACACATTGCTTGCTGTGTTACATCTATATCTACTACAAGATCTCTCTTTTCGAAACATGTGTGAACAGATTCATTTATCTATTTATTTATTTATTCAGAAATTGTGACATGACAATACAAAGTGTGCACAAGTCTGCTGATAACATTCACAAGTTTACAGACAAATTTACAGTTTTTAATTTACATTGTTGTTCCGGATAACTTTTGAACCATTCTCCTTTTGGTATGTGCGCATATTGCTGTCAAGAAAACTTGTAAATACTGAGTACTCTTTATTGGGGTATTAGAATATGTACATTGTAAACCCTCATACATGTACCTAAGCCAGAACATGTTCAAGAAGTATTGAATTTGCTTCAGAGCATGAACAGTCATACTTACGTCATTTGCATCGACGTCAACCTTCACAAAGATGACATCAGGGTTCTCCTCTGCCAGTTTCTGAAGAAAACAAAAACATGGTGAAGCTAGAAGCTGACATTGGAATGAACCTAAACCAACTGCCTGCAGAGATGGCTGACAGAGAGAACTGGAGGCGGACAGTCAAGAGAAGATTGCAAGCAAGCTGGACTCAACACAGTGAGTGTGTGTCTGAGTATGAGTGAGTGAGTGAATGAGTGAGTGACTGAGCATGAGTGAGTGAGTGAGTGAGTGAGTGAGTGAGGAAGTGGGTGATTGAGTGAGTGAGTGAGTGAGTGTGTGACTGAGTATGAGTGGGTGAGTGTGTGACTGAGTATGAGTGGGTGAGTGTGTGACTGAGTATGAGTGGGTGAGTGTGTGACTGAGTATGAGTGAGTGTGTGACTGAGCATGAGTGAGTGAGTGAATGAGTGAGTGACTGAGCATGAGTGAGTGAGAGTGAGTGAGTGAGTGAATGAGTGAGTGAGTGAATGAGTGAGTGACTGAGCATGAGTGAGTGAGTGAATGAGAGTGAGTGTGTGAGTGAGTGAGTGTGTGAGTGAGTGAGTGAGTGTGTGACTATGAGTGAGTGAGTGAGTGAGTGAGTGAGTGAGCGAGTGAGCGAGTGAGTGAATGTGGAGTGAGTGAGTGAGTGAGTGAGTGAATGCTGAGTGAGTATGAGTGAGTGAGTGAGTGAGCGAGCGAGTGAGTGAGTGAGTGAGTGAGTGAGCGAGTGAGTGAGTGAGCGAGCGAGCGAGCGAGCGAGCGAGCGAGCGTGTGAGTGAGCGAGTGAGTGAGTGAGTGAGTGAGTGAGTGAGTGAGTGAGTGAGTGAGTGAAGTAAGACTGGACAGTAAGGTTTAGAGTCTGATATGGATGTAAAAAAACCTCCTCCCCACCTCAAACACAGGAGCGATCATCCTGCAGGGTCCGCACCAGCTGGCTGTGAAGTCCACAACAATCAGCTTGTCTTTGTTGTCAGCCAGGAGAGCATCAAAGTCAGCCTGCAGGGGTTAGAACACATCTTACGTTAGTAAATAATTTCCTCAGGTTGGTAAATGACTGAATAGCAAAGTTCTTTTTATCACAACCATTTATTTTTCACTAGCCGACGTTTCGATGACCGTCTGTCATCTTCATCAGGGCCATTCTGACATGTCTATTCATTCATACCTATTCACATCTTATGTTAGTTTTAACATATGTCCCAACTGTGTGATGATATCCTTGTGTAATGTTTTAAGGCCTAGGGAAAAAAATGTTGAGTTTCCTGTTTCCCTTCCGACCCTGGAAAAAACTGCCAACCCTAACCCTGTTTTGTGTGAACCCCTGCAAGGGACATAAATTTTTAAAGCTGATCAACCTTTTCTAGGTCCATCATTCATCCATGATCTGACACCTGAGTGATTATGTGTTATACAATCGTTTTCCAACATTGAAAATATAAGTGTCCTAATACATGTTGCAAATGTTACCCTTACTTCGGCTTACTCTCCATAATCACTCCATTTTTGCCAAATTCTACTACCGTAAATTACTTTATATTCAAAGGTTCGCTGTCTGAAAAAAAGGAGGGCTCACGTGAACTATATGTTTGCGGTGGTGGTAGGTGCAGAAGATTAAGTCAGCAAATTTATTTGTTTGCAGTAATGATAAGATAAATTCGTGGTACAGAACTGTTATAACAACAAATTTAAAAGTACCACAAATATAAAGTGATTTACTGTAGGGATGGGTGGTACAGAATGAATGTAGCAAATTGCAATTTGCCTGGGATTTCACTGGCCAATCAACACCTATTGTTTACTTAATTCTAGGCTCTAAGAAACATTAAGTGGAACTGCACAACGATTCAGACTCACTGAATAATAGTCAAATTTAGTCAAATAGAGAAACTAACTGGTCAGGAAAGAACTGACATAACAACAATAGAGCTAATTTGCAATTTGGTACCCTTAGGCCATGTTGATTTGATCATATGGATGACATCCGCGTGCATGAATTTTTGTCCGTTTCCAAAAAAAAAAAGAAGTTTCAACCAGACTGTAAATCGTACAAAATGAGCGAATATGTTATGAAAAAAAGTATTGGAAAACGATATTAATGTCATAGAATACCAAAAGCAATTCAGGAAAAGAAGAAAATGTGAAGAAATTAAAATGAAGATTATGATTAAGACTATTAATATTATTATTATTCACCATACAATACTCTGTGCATTTAGTCATTTGTTCAACCATAAAAAACTTATGACTATGTAGATTTTATAATGAAGGAACCTTTTTTTTTGCCAAACTTTTTTTATTCACACGCGTCAGTTTTGGGGTTCCTGGAGAATGTCATCCATATAATGGCAATTACTCTATTAACTGGCCCTAAGAATAAAAAAGAAGAAGAACTGGCCCTATTTTTGCAGAGTCTTACTATCCATAGCCCCTTAGGAAACCCTGGTTTAGGCTATGTAACGTTACACCAGTGAGACCAAATGTACCTAATCACCAAGCATGCAAGCCAAGCATAGCATGACTTTGCAAATTTTCTACCACCACTTCCTGATACATACATAATACATGTAGGCCACAAGGCCACTGCAGCAAAAAATTGACACATGATTGGAAAATGATTAGATTTTCAGTGCCCAAAATGACAGAGCCTTCGAGTTACAGTAATCCACACGACACACCCTTGTCTACCTGGCTATTCTCTGTATTGTTTGGCCTGGAAACGCGTATACATACATCGATACCTATTCTTAGTATACGCATCAGTGGCCAATGCCACACCTTTTTCGAAGAAAACCGGATTCTGTGATCCATTTCCTATTTCCTACAATGACTCTGCAGTACCAAAGAGGAACTATAAACATGTTTTTGCCCACTTTTTTTCACAATCTGCGGATGATTTTGCTCTGAAATAAATATGAAGAAATACTAGTAACCAGGTCCAAAGCATACGCCCACTAGCCTATATATTAGTAACAAAAATTATTGTACTACGCCTCTTCGTCCTAACATAATTTCTGACACCAGGGGTACTGGTGCCTGTTTGACTGTTAGCAGAAAAGCAGTCGAAGAGGTTGGAGCAAAAATTTAGGGCGAATAAATATGTTTGCTGTAGTTAAACAAATTATAGTGGGAGGGGGGCAACTATGTTCTCGATTACATCCGGAAAACTTCTTAAACCTACCCATTAATATTTCAAAATGTTGTTTCTAACTATCTTTTGAAGAAGCTTCTGCCAAAGACTTCAACTCTTAGCATTTTCGGGGGCAAAACTAAGTTTTCAACCATCATAAAAATTCTCGGTTTCGTGTTGAACACAGTGAAACATGTGGTCGGTGGTTGTACACTACTTCTGTACTTGAAGATCTGTTTGCATAAAAAATACCTTTTTATGCTTAAAACGTGTCTAGCAACGGCAAATTTCACATCTAGATATGTTTAAAGAATGTCACGTACCTTGGTCTCGATCATTCGCACCATTTTGAGGGTTAGTTTGGCGGGTTTGGGTAGAGAGTTGACGATCTCGTGAGCGATTTGTGGCGCCAAACCAAAGAATGCGGCCTTTTCATGCACACGTCATGGGTCATAGGTTATGTGAAGCACAAGGGTCAACGGACGGGTCCATTACACACGTGTGGGTTTTTTTAAAGGGCCTCAACTTGCAGTACAAATGTATTTGCTTCAATGGTATATAAACATACGATAATGTTTTGCGAAAAAAAAATTAATAAAACACGAGAAGGGACGTAAGAAACCTGAAAAAATTGATAAAACAAAAACAAGATTTTTGAAAAGAAATTTATTTCGGTCATAAAAGAAGCAGGTGTAGAAGTTTTATTCATAGATTTTAAGTTACAGCTAGAAAACTAGTATGGTTATCATAATGTTACCTTATCCACAAAAGGACTGTATAAGGCATATATACAAGGCAACAATGCATGCTATTGTTGAATACTGCGGTACAACCGCCCTTGGCGTAAACACCAGCTTTAATATAATAGTTTCTACAACTTATCTCTTTTCCATCCATACATCTTCTATCCATCCCTTCATCCACCCATCTATCCTTCCATCCATTCATTCTTACATCCATAAGTTGAATTCTCTGATCACAATTTTTTTCATGTAATGAATGAAAGTCAACTTGAGGCAAAACGCCATTTTCAGCTGCTGATGTTCAAGTTTTTCCTTTTAAGGAGGGGGCAGTACTCCATCTCTGAAGGTTATTATCCCTTAAGTCAAGTTTGTATAGACAGATGACACACAGACTCTTTGTTTTGTGTGGCCATAAGTGTGTGCGGTACACAGTACACACAGTACACAGAACGATTTGCTGGCATCCCCATTCCCATAGAACACACACGACCGCGCATCCAGGCAGGCAAACTTCACTTTGGAACACATGCTAGTGTTGCACAGACTCTTTGTCTTGTGTGGCCATAGTGTGTACGGTACACAGTACACACAGTACACAGAGCGGTTCGCTGGCAGCCACATTCCCACCAAAACACACACGAGCGCCGACTCATTGAGGCAATCTTCACTTTGGAACACATGCTGTTGTTGCACAGACTCTTTGTTTTGTGTGGCCATAGTGTGTACGGCACACAGTACACACAGTACACAGAGAGATTTGCTGGCATCCCCATCCCCCTAGAACACACACACGAGCGCTCATCCAGGCAAACTTCACTTTGAAACACATGCTAGTGTTGCACAGACTCTTTGTTTTGTGTGGCCATAGTGTGTACGGTACACAGTACACACAGTACACAGAACGATTTGCTGGCAGCACCATTCCCCCAAAACACACACGAGCGCTCTTCCAGGCAAACTTCACTTTAGAACACATGCGGGCTTGCGGGCAACCAGGAGACGGGTTCGCTTCGTTCCATCTCGTTGTGTTCTAAATTCCCGCTTTCTTTGAAACAAAACTCAGAGCCGTGAAGGAAGAGCAAGAAACATGTCGGAGGCACCTACGCTGAGTGAAGAAACTGTACTTGTTCCTGACGTTGCAGACAAGAAAGCGGAGGAGACGTCACGTTTAGAGACGCCATCGCAAACGTCTTCCAAGGAGTGCGACGCAAAAAGTGAGCCAGTTCCCTCTGTTGAAGAGGTTCAGGGTGTTTCAGCTACCAAAATACCTCCCGCTAACTTCAATGATTGCACAGTGGAGACAGCGGATGAAAAAGAGGAAAACCTGGAGGACGGCAAAGTATGTGATTCAACCAGTTGTATGCCTGGTTTGTTGGAAGAACCGCTTACGGCAGAACTTCAGATCAAGTCTACTCTTTCATCAGCAAATGCAGAGAGTCCAGGAAGCCGCGATAGCCTGGCTCTCAGTCGCCATGGGACGGCAGATGCACCGTCGCCTCTTGAGGCTACCTTAAAACCTCCCGCCAGCAATGATTGCACAGATCAAGCAGATGGAAAAGAAGAAATCTCGGAGCCACCCAAAGTTTGTGATCATTCACCCAGAACTTGTATCCCGGGTTTGTTGGAAGAATCTCAGATCCAGCCTACTGTTTCATCAGCAAATGCAGAGAGTCCGGAAAGACACGATAGCCTGGCTTCCAGTCGCCACGGGGTGGAAGATGCACCATCGCCGCTTGAGGCGCTTCGAGCGCACCTCCAAGCCATGGTGCAAGACGAGCGTGACTTCGTCCACACGCTCAACTCCAAGCTGACGAAACTAGAAGGCGTCGTGAGGCACGTTCGGCAGGAGAAGAATAACCTCGCTGCAGAGTTTCAGGACCTGGAGGAACACGTGGACAAACTCAACGGCGGCGTGAGGGCCTTCGATGCCGAGATGCGTGACTATTCCCTCGAAAAGGAAAGAACCGACAACCTTACGGAAGCAGAGTTACGCAGGACGGACTCTCAACTAAGTTTTGCAGACATCCCAGAGATCGGGGTAAACTTCTCAACCTCGGGTCAGCGGGCCAGAAGAGGGCTGTGGTCACGTGGGAAAAGATGGTGGAGGAAAAAGAGCGGGAAAGTCACCCCGGAGAAGGAGGATGACATCCGGGAACTTGCGGCGGATGCGGCCATAAAGTTAGCAGCGTTTCTGAGAGAAAAGTTATAGTTGTACGGTCTCCATAGCCTCTACAATGCTTCGGGAGGCGGCTGGAAAGAGTAGAAATTGGTCAAATAGAGAGGTAACATGCCAGGAGAGTTTGTCCGTTTGCACGTTTGTACGCGGCGAACTGTTTTCTCAACGGTCAAACTCTCCTGGCATGTTATCTCTCTATTTGGCCAATTTCTACTCTTTCCAGCCGCCTCCCGAAGCATGGTAGAGGCTACGCTCACCAAGCAGATGTATGGTGTCGGTCTGTGTTTGTAATTCTTTCCGCTTGTCATGTTTGTTCGCGCCAGCTCGACAGACAAGCAGAAATAAGAGACAGCACATCTGCGTAAAGAGTAGGTAGCCCACAACAGTTTGATTCATTGGGTGTCGGACCTCTAAAAAAAGGTGAAGATTTAGCAAGAGAAAAGGGTAAAAATGGGGTGCAGAGAGAAAAAGTAACATTTTGACTTATTCGTAGATATGATTTTGTAACCAGTATGAGATGGTGAACGACTTACACTTGCACTGTCTTGACTCTTGTGACGCGTAGATTTATAGTACACGTGTATATACTGGAGACGATCTTATGTCAAAATGTGCCGGGTACATATCTGAAACAATGCAGCGCCCTACGATATCGTTTGAGGCTCAATACTCAGGAATAGAAGACTACCCTGTGCACACGTTAAGGCAACCCTAGCCTTGTTTGTTGTACAAAGTTGTTTGTTGTTTACCTTCGAACATATGGAGGCCGTGCCATACTCGTATGTACGTGAAGTCATGTGTATGTCCCTGCCCAAGCTTAAGTCATCTAATTATTTGCCTTATTTAGTATGTACTTGCGCTGTCGTGTTAAGATATCTATTTGTCTAGTGATAACTTTTAGAAATAAAAGAAATTTCAGATGCAAATATTAACTGCGTTTAGTCTTTGTTATAATGTAAAAGGTCGCCATGCCTTTTTCCGAAAGGCGCAGAGAGTTACCGTTAATAAGCATTACGTGTTGTCGGTAACTTATTCGTGATAAAGAGTGATTGGTCACATCAATTCTACGTAGCAAGTCATTTATTGACAAATTGTTCGTATTATCAAGCATAGACAATCGCCACAACAATGTGATACATGTAGTTCAACTATGCAGACACATTCCCTTGGCGTCTGCTATATCTTACGATCATACAAAAAGGTTTACTTTAATAATAGATAAGGAAACCAAATTTAATCAATGGATACACATCATTGCTACACGGAACTGGTTTATAGTAAGTGATATATAGATGCAGAGATACCAAACATTCGCTAGACCTTATATTACACCACATCACCAAGTCAAAACCAAATATCACCAAATCAAAACATGCAAATATGATCTGTATCTGTACCTGTATAGCCGGTATAACCGCCTTTCGGCGTAACACACCAGCTTCGCAGGCACGCGGCGCGGCGGCAGCCGGCTACATCACACCGATCGACTTGTTACACCTGACCTTTGAACATCTAACTCTAGACATTGTAAATGTTTAAAGCTATCTAATGATGATGCCCCTACTGTACTTGGTGACAGCGAGTTCCACTCTGCGATAGTTCTACATGTAGGAAAGAATGAATATTCTTAAACACCTCAATCCTTGGTTGATGACTCTGGTACTTGAAGGCATGGCTATTTCTTGTTCTCTTCTGAGCTGGTATTAGGTACATGTACTTAGTAATTGGGACGTCCACCATTTTATTAGTCATTTTCTACATCATACATAGCCTGGCATGATCAACAGCCTTACAACCTACACTCACCGGGTGCTACACTACAAATCAGGCTGCGTTTCCGTTTGCGTTTGCCAGCGCTCATCAAATCAGGTACAAATTTTCTACTCCAGTGTTGTAATTCTGGTATTAGGTACATATAATTAGTAATTGGGACGTCCACCATTTTATTAGTCATTTTCTACATCATGCATAGTCTGGCATGATCAACAGCCTTACAACCTACACTACAAATCAGACTGCGTTTCTGTTTGCGTTTGCCAGCGCTCATCAAATCAGGAACAAGTTTTCTACTCAAGTGTTGTAATTCTATCACACCTAACTCTGAACCATGGCAAAGCAAATGCAGCCAAAATTCTTATTTGACTTTCTCAATCATTTCCCTCAACTTCGCTTCATCCGCTCCAACCACCTCGTCAACCTGCAAATCAACAAACCAAAATAAGTTATTTCTTTATCTAATTTTCAAACCGCAGAGTAGCCAAATTGACACAGATACATAGTTGATACCATGTTCGACTGTTGTGCAATAAAGTTCTTCTGTAAGGCCACAGCAAGTAATTTTTATGGATGACATCAGCGCGCATTAATTTTCGCCTGATTTTGGAAAAAAAAACGAGAAATTTTGTTGCCCACTGACAGTGGTCAACATGCCGAAAATGGGCAAAGATGTCTGTTGCCATGCCGGAAGGTGGATGGCAGATAACTAGGAAAACAAGAGGAGACATGACTGATTTAATGTTTTGTTTCTTGATTGATTAATATTGTTCACTGATATGTAGTACTGGCTGTGTATATGTCATGTTCCCAGTGAGTCAAAACCAGTGAGTTAAAATTTTAAAAGGCAGGCACCTTCAGTTGTTTTTTTCGGCCCGCCTTGTTTTTCTTCGTCCGCTCGCATTAGATTTGGAGTATGCGGAGGATGTCATCCATAAAATTTACTTGCTGTGGCTAAACCAAAATCTGGCAGTGAAATCAAATCTAAAAGCAAGGATGAGGTTTTCGAGATGACAACTTACCTTCTGGCCGTTCACGTAGCATTTGAAAGTGGGCATAGCGGAGACTCCTTGTTCCATTGCAACCTCCTGTAGCAAAGTCAGGAGTGCCAGAGTATACTCAGCAATTTTACGGAATACAGTGCAATTTTACGGAATGCAGTGCAATTTTACGGAATGCAGTGCAATTTTACGGAATACAGTGCAATGATATCGCATCAGTATACAGTGCAATTTTACGTATAGTATGATTATACTTTCTAGGGGTGCCAGAATATACTTAGCAATTTTACGGAATACAGTAAAATTTTACTAGTATACAGTGCAATTTTACGGAATACAGTGCAATCGTATTAGTATACAGTGCAATTTTACGGAATACGTCACTAGTAAAATTGCACTGTATTCCGTAAAATTGCACTGTATACTAATACGATTGCACTGTATTCGTATTGCACTTTATACTAATAGGAAATACTGTATTTTTATTCAATTTACACTACTTTGTACTTTGTATTTTCATGCGAAAAATAAAATGAAAATAAACCCTAACGTATACTTACGGAATTCTGATCAACGTCCACCTTAGCAAATTTGATCGTTGGGAATTCTTTTTCCATATCCTAAAAAAAAGAACAAAAATATGGTGAACAATTTCACAAACATTTCACCGACAAAGAGTCAAAATATAAACAACAATTAGTTAGACTTAAGGCCACACCGACTTAATTATATGGATGACATCCGCGCGCAAATTCGTTTATTCTGATACCCTTTAGTCCATGACTAGTCTATCAGGGTTAAAAATATAAACATATGAACATACTGACAACAAAATTAAAAGAGAGTGAACATACATAATAATCACAAATTATACAGGTCAAACAAAATTCGCCCGCGCGCACTAGTTTGGGGTTCTTCAGAGGATGTCATCCATAAAATTAAGGCGGTGTGGCCTAAAGGCGGTTTACCGGTTATGCGAAACAAACCGGAGAGTGTGCATCTTGACAAAATGAGGCTGATATATGGATGTAAAAAAAAACAACTCACGTCCAGAGGTTCTTCTTTTCTGTCAACAATGTACAATACTGAAATACTGCTGCATGTGCACACATTTTTGTTGTAATCATTTTTTTATAGTGTCTTGATCGATCCTGTCGGTGTTTATGTATGTGTTTCACTAGTTTATTGATTGATTGTTGTATTCAACTTCTGTGTAAAAATTCGGGCTTTGCTTGCTTGTACATGTTTTATTTATTTATTTATTTATTTATTTATTCATCTTGGGTGGTCCCTTCAGCCCCTATCATATATACAAATCAAATGTATTACGTATTGTCTGGTGGCGACATGAATATAAGTGTAACTTGAGTGTGTTGCCACCACGTCTTGTCATTGTATGTTTCGATCAAAAAAAAAAAAAACTCACGTCAAACTTAGGACCGATCGTTTTGCAGGGTCCGCACCAGACGGCCGTGAAGTCCACAACAACAGTAGCGTTCTCATTCAGGAGAGCCTCGAACTCAGCCTGCAAGAGTTATGGAATAAATCATATGTTAATTCTCACACACATTTCACCAGCCTGGAGGCCAGGCTATGATTATTAACTGTTTATGTACCGGCTCACCTGTGTTACAAACAACGGCTGCCAGTAGGGCTTGGCAGAAATGAAGAAGAAGAGAAGAAGCTTGTTAGCAAGGTGTTCTGTAATTACCTGGCTACTGTCTCCCTGTTTGTTTCACCTGGCTACGTACAGTACCTACACCAGGCCGGAACCGACCACATGTACCCAATTTCAAAGAAAACTGGATAAGATGATAGTATGATACGATCGTGACTTAGCAGTACCAAACAGGAACCACAAATATGATTATGGCCAGTTTTCACCATCCGCAGATAATTTGGGTGAGAAAAAATGTAGGAAAGATCACAACCTTAAGCTGCTATCTGTGTTAGCAAAGCCAAAAGTGAACTAGGTGCTTTTGGTTTTTGCTTTGAACGTTTTAACAACGGCACATTTTACACCTGACTATATTTAAAAAAGTGTCACCGACCTTGGTGTTTACGAATTCCGGCATCTTGAAGGTAAGTTTGGCAGGTTACGGCAGAGAGTCGACGATCGGGTGAGCTGGTTGTGGCGCCAACTGAGCCTCGCTAATTAGTGAAGAATGTGGCCGAACTACTAACTACTGACTACTAAGAAATAGTCCAATTTTGAGCCATTAAGAGGAAGAACAAATTTTCCAGGGGAGTTTGGCCACCATAGAGTTCATTTTCCCCATCAAATGCCCTGCATAAACTATGCGGGCTTCTTTCACGACACAGTAGCCTGTATTTTAGACCAAATAGCAGGGCGAGGCTGGGAATCGGTGGAACCGGTGATCGCGGCGGCAAGTCACCAAATGACCCAAAATTAGTAAGGATCGTATTTTTCCGCGTAATGGATCGTATATATTCCGTTAACTTCGTATGTTTCCTAGTAAGGATCGTATGAATTCCGTAAAATTCTTATGAATTCTTTGGCACCCCTGGAGCAGTCAAACCTGGACAGCGTCTTACCTGACTGGAACTTCTACTCTACAACCTAGCTGCCCACCTGTGTTGGCAAAAGTGAACTAGGTGCTTTTGGTTTTGCTTTGAACGTTTTAATAACGGCACATTTTACACCTGATTATATTTTAAAAAGTCACCGACCTTGGTGTTTACGAATTCCGGCATCTTGAAGGTAAGTTTGGCAGCTTGGGGCAGAGAGTCGACGATCGGGTCAGCAGGTTGTGGCGTCTTCTAGCAGTCGAACCGCAGACCGCTATGCGCATCGGTTCTGCGCAGCTCTCTCTAAGATCTCGTTTAAATCTCGCGCTTCTTTTCCAAGGTAATGTGATCCGCGAGAATCCGCGAGAGTTTGCTACTGTTTACTGTTTCGCTTGTAACTCCGCTTTGCGTAAGTGTTTCCTTGTCATACGTTAATGTGAGATGTACGAAGGGCCGGCGTCACGCTCAAGGTCGTAGATGTATATTACCGGTGGTGTTTGTTGGAGAAACGAGGTTTCAAAGTTGACCGTGTATGATGGAGATGATTCCACTCGAGACAGGTACCCTTTAGTTTTTTTGGGGGCAAACCCGTTTGCCCTATTTCATCGCCGATTTGGTGTATTGTTTAATAAAGTATAGACCCTCCCTCATCTATCGTGTGTTGTTTCTTTTGGGATCCTGTAGTTGTTAAAATATAGTAACCGATAGTATGTTGAGCTCATTCAGTCGAATTCTCAACGATTTTTGTTCGAATCTCAAGCTTTTGCAACTAGTTCTAACCAATACACCTGTAATGTAAGTTGCGGCTGAAATATAATTATGTTGGCTTGACACCTGTGTACTTAGTTTTGAAATTGCACAATGTGTATTGCAGCTCGACCTTGAGAAAAGTGTAATTTCTTTACATTTTTTTTGCCTTTAAAAATGTTCAGTTAAAAGTTATATACTACAAAAAAGACAGTGAAAGAATATCGACCAAATAGTAAGCTTCAAAACGATACCCACTTTACGGATGAAAACAGAAGAGAAGGAATTTGGGCATGAACAAATACAACAACGGGTTGATTTTTCATGACCTAATTTTTGAAGGAGAAATCGGACACTATGACCTGTTACTGTAAATATACAAACATCGGGCAGATGTACTGACATTGGTATAGTTGCACATGAATCCCACTTTCTCTAGCGTCTTCATGATATAAGTCTGACTTGGAATGGGTTTCAGAAAGTCTGTTTGTGATGAAAAAACTTGATTACTTCTTTTTATGAACTTTCGCAAACAGCGGTTGAAAGTTGCAACATTGTTGGCGGCGCGAAAAATGGAACGCGCTGCCTAGGTTCCATGGATCGAACGCAGGAGTTCGAAACCGATTGACTTCAAATTTGACGATTTTTGAATGGTCAGAACCTTGTATTAAATTCCTCTTTTTGTATATAATTGAATGTTATCATATCACTTATTATATTGCATGTGGTAGCCACATTCATACAGTTTCTCATACCAAGAAACGAATTTTATGACATTACGCGAAATGTATCAAAATGTAGCGGAAACTCAGGATGGTGTGTGTCAGTAGCTTACAACTGGGCTAAATTTGACCACCGCGATGTGCGCATCGTCACAGTTTTTTTGGGGGCAAACCCGTTTGCCATAAAATTTGCCAGGGGTCATTGGTATCAATGTAAAGGTAAAGAAGTGGGCTATCACACTGTGGTATTAGCTAATAGTTAACGGGATCCAGTTAAATAGTAAAAAAGACAAGCACAAATAAAATGACCAAAAATTGCTAATTTTTGGAAGGCCGTAGCGCTCGCTGTCATTTTGCAATGCACGGAATATCTACATGGTTGTACTGGGCAAATCCTGTAGATGTGAAAAAATGTAAACATTGTGTAGGTCTGAGGTATTTTTGTTACAATATAGGCAGTTGTTTACACCCATGCAACGGGGTCAAATCGTGACCCGGCAAACGCCGTATCTTAGAGAATAACGCGTTCTACGGTGACCTGCGGTTCGACTGCTAGAGTTGTCTTCACGAATGCATAAATTGAGGCACAAAGGTCAATGGACTATTCCATTGATTACCTAGTACGGTCACACCTTTCAGTGCGATTGTAATGAAAAGGAGATTGAGCTTCGCTGGACATGTGTGGAGACTCCCTGACCTCAGAACCACAAAAACAGCCCTAACATGGAAGCCAGAAGGCACACGCCCGAGATGGCGGCCTAGAGTCACCTTGCGGAAAACACTACAAAATGATGGGGCAAAACTTGGACTTAACTCAGTAGCGTCGCAAAGCCGAAACCTTTGGAGACAAAAAGTCAGACAAGGAGTCGGCCTATGCAACAAGGTTGCGGGAGGGTCTAAGGTCTAAGGTAAGGTCTAGTGAGAAAAGAAGCAAATGTAGCAGTTTCACTATAAAGTTGACTGCTAGAAAAGTATGATAAGGCCATGTTTCATTGTATGGATGACATCCACGCGCTCATGAATTTTTGTCTGGTCCAAAAACGTTTTCGACCATACTGTAAATCGTACAAAGCAGCTGCAAATAAGCAAATTTATGCTGTAAATTGGAAAAAAATTGGGAAACGATACATATGTCGTAGAGTGCCAAAATCAATTCCAAGGGAAAAGAAGAAAAAAGTGAAGAAATGAAAATAAAGTGTATTATTCGCCATATCATACTGTGTGTTCAATTTCTGCAAAACATTTGGCTTCAAAAATAGAGGTTGAAATCAAATTTAATCAACGAATATATTGAAATCACATTTAATCGTAGAATACATATCATTGCTACTTTCACATAACAAGCGTCATTATATATAAAAAGTAAATAGTCATGCTCACACACTGTAGTAACGACTGACAACGGTAGGTGGCGCTTTTTCTATTTTGAGTTACTGTAAGTGTTGCCTTGTGTATCTCATTATCTGAATGTCTAACCTTCATTGATGGACTAGATACATGATTAAAGAAAGTATAGATGAAGAGGAATGGATGGATGGGAGGATGGATGGATGGATGGATGGATGGATGGATGAGAGGATGGATGGATGGAGGTATGGATGGCTGGATGGATGGATGGATGGGTGGATGGATGGATGGGAGGATGGAAGGGAGGATGGATGGATGGAAAGATGGGAGGGAGGATGGATGGATGGATGGGAGGATAGATGGATGGATGGATGGATGAATGAATGCATAGATTGATGACAATGGAATGGATGAAATGAGGATGGATGAAAACATGGATGGATGGATGGGTGGATGGTGAGGTGGAGTGATGGATGAATGAAAAGATTAATGAATGGGTAGATGGATGGAAGAAAGAATGGATATATGGATGAATTGAAGGATGGGTAG